GGACAGCCTCCCGCCAGCCACCTGTCATTCACACGCACTGGAAGCTAGCCCCTGACCAGTTTCCTTGGTGAAGATGCAGCAGTACCCAGCTGGTAGGAGCTGTGGGAGATTACTTACCTAGAGTGCCTCTGGCATGTGCTAGATAAGTTCAGTAACCAGAAGTCTCTATGCGTGAATGGAAGGCATGGCCATCCATGGCTCGGGAGCTCCCAAGGAGCTGGGCTTCGTTCATGTGCAGTGTGGGTTGTGCTGCCGTGTCTCCACACGCCCTCTTGTCTCACCCCTTCCCTAGAGTTCACAGACTGGTGAGTGCTCTCCAACGTCTACTTTAGCTGAAAAGTTACTCGTTTGTTTTGTTTTTGCTGGTACTAGGACTTGAATTCAGGGTCTCAAGCTTTCCCTTGGCTTTTTTTTTTTTTTTTAATCAGGGCTGGTGTTCTACTATTTGAGCCATACTTCCTGTTAGGTTTTTAAAAAGAGGTAGCTGAGTAAGAACTGCACCAGCACGCACGTGGTATTCAGGTAAGGGGTAGGTTTATTCAGTAGACCTGCTGGGACCAGGCAAGGTTGGCACTCCACGTGGCTGGGAAAGGCCTGGAAAGGAGAGAGAGCTGGGAAAGAGAGAGGAAAGAGCTAGAGCAGAGAGAAAGCAGAGAGAGCTAGAAAAGAGCAGCGAGAGAGAGAGAGAGAGAGAGAGAGAGAGAGAGAGAGAGAGAGAGAGAGAGAGAGAGAGAGTGTGTGTGTGTGTCTGGGCCTGGGCTAGCCCTTATCTAGGGTATGGGCGGAGAAAAGGTGTGGCCACATCAAATTCAGATGTGACCTCAGCGGATGCGGATGTGACCTCTTCCAGGTATGCCAGTTGCCTAGGTAACGCAGGTACTGGGTGGAGACTTTGCTGCGAGGAGGGTGGAGTCTGCTAGCCATCCAAGAGCAGACCTTACACTTCCTAGTTCTGTTTTTTTTCCCCCTGATTAACTGGAGATAAGAGTCTTACCGATCTGTCTGCCTGAGCTGGTTTCAAACCACAGTCCTTGTATCTCAGCCTCCTACATAGCTAGGATTATAAGGGTGAGTCACTGCTGTTGCTGGAGGTTTTGCTGCTTCCTTGCCCTGCGGGGCTACTCACCTCATCCACCTCAGGGTGCTCCACGTGCTCCCAATCCTCTCCTATCTCCGGAGACGTCTACACCTATTTCTTTGTTTCACTCAGGCCCAGCTATCGCCATGGGTCCCTTTCCTGTCTTTATGGATCCCTGCCTTGTTTCAGACCTTATACTCAAGCTTAGTTTCCATTTCCTGGACCTTATCACACTTAGAGCTAAAATACTCGCTGTCCTGCCTACTCCCATTTGCCTCCTCCACTCCTTCTAGAGTTTTGCCTCCTCCTGCCTGCCTCCTCTACTCCTTCTAGAGCTTTGCCTCCTCCTGCCTGCCTCCTGCAGTCCTTCTAGAGCTTCTCAGCTCATGGAAATGGCAGATTCTCTGTGTATTTGCTCCCAGTCCACTGACTCTCTTCTGTATGTAACACGTAACATGCTATCTGTTCTTTAATTCTTCATTGCTGCCATCCCATTTTCTCCTTCTTGCCCCTCAAGGAAAAAATCATAGTCCTCTGTGGGTCTGGTGTTTATCCAGCCCTCTTACCTCTGCCAAAGAAAGCCCTTCAGGTCCAGCTTAAACTTAGTCTCTGTCTCTGCACGTGCTGCTCTGGAGCACTCTTCTGTTTCCCTGGCCCATCCTCAGTGGCTCTTCACACCGCCTCTCCATTGTCTCTCAGTTACCCTCAGGATGAAGTCAGGACTCACTGGTCTGGCCAGGCTCACTGTTCACCCTGAGCTTGTTCTATGAAGTGTGGAGGAGGAGGAGGAGGCCCGGCGTTCCAGTGCTCGTTGCAGGCACCACTGCAGCAGGGTGGAGCTCTAGTCAGTCTGCACCTCTGCTGCCCCTCAAGCCTGGGCATGGGGACTCCCATTTCTCATTTCTTAGAGGCAAGGGTTCTTTGAGGATAACTTGGGAAGTTTGCCAGGGATTATTTCTAATGGGTGTCAGAATCTGGGTAGTTTGAGACACAGTTAATGCAGTTAAAGCTGGTGCTCTGAAAATGGCTTTGAAAGGCCTAGGTTAAAAGAATGTTTCAGTCGGGCACCAGTGGCTCATGCCTGTCATCCTAGCTACTCGGGAGGCTGAGATCCGAGGATCATGGTTCAAAGCCAGCCAGGGCAGGAAAATCCCTGAGACTTATCTTCAATTAACCACCAGAAAACTGGAAATGACACTGTGGCTCAAGTGGTAGAACACTTTCTTGAGCTGAAGAGCTCAGGGACAGTGCCCTGGCCCAGAGTTCAAGCCCCATGACTGACCAAAAAAAAAAAAAAAATGTTTCTGGCTGGGAAGGTGGCTCAATGGTAGAGTGTTTGCCTTGCATGCATGAGGCCCTGGGTTTGGTTCCTCAGCACCACATAAAAAAAAAGCTGGAAGTGGCACTGTCACTCAAGTGGTAGAGCGCTAGCCTTGAGCTGAAGAGCTGAAGGACAGCGCCCAGGCCCAGAGTTCAGGCCCCACAACCGACAAAAAAAAAAGTTTCAGGGCTGGGAAGGTGGCTTAGTGGTAGACTACTTGCCTAGCATGCATAAAGCCCAGGGTTCAATTCCTCAATATCACATAATTTTTTTTTTTAAAGAAAGTTTCTTGGGGCTGGGAAGGTGTCTCAGTGGTAAAGCGCTTGCCTTGCATGCCTGAGGCCCTGGGTTCGATTCCCAGCACCACATAAGCAAAAAGAAAAAAGCCGGAAGTGGCGCTGTGGCTCAAGTGGTAGAGCGCTAGCCTTGAGCTGAAGAGCTGAGGGACAGCGCCCAGGCCCAGCGTTCAGGCCCCACGACCGGACCCAAAAAAAAAAAAAAAAAAAAAAGAAGAAAGTTTCTTGACGTGATAGTAGCAACCTATCTCCTTGGTAGATGTGGCATAGCTCCCGGTTCCCCATGGACATCAGACTAGCATTTCAAAGACAGATCACACCAGGTATTAGCCAGGATGTGGTTGGGCTGAAACTCAGCACTGCTGGTGGAATGAGGTGTGTCTACACTGTAGAATACTAATCTGATAACTACACCCACAGGCTCACACCTGTCACCCTAGCTATGCAGGAGGCTGCGATCTGAGGATCACAGTCTGAAGCCAGCCTGGGCAGAAAAGTCCATGAGACTCTTAGCTCCAATAAACTACTCAGAAAAAGCTAGACAAGACACTGTGGCTCAAGTGGCAGAGTGTTAACCTTGAGCACTAAAAGGCTCAGGGACAGTGCCCAAGCCCTGAGTTCAAGCCCCAGGATCAGCAGGGGGAAAAAAAAAGTAAAAACAGAGTTCCAAGCCGGCCATCAGTAGCTCATGCCAATAATCCTAGTTACTTAGGAGGCTGAGATCTGAGGATCATGGTTTGAAGCCAGCCTGGGCAGGAAAATCCATGAAACTCTTACCTCCAATTAACCATCAAAAATCTGGAAGTGGATTTGTGACTCAGGTAGTAGGCCTCAAGCACAAAAGCGCAGGGTCAGTGCCCAGACCCTGAGTTCCAAGACCCAGGAGGACAGGCACACACAAGGAAAGATTCGTACAGTAGGTAAGCTACTCTGTCTCCTCTGGAAGGGGAGTTGTGCTGGGTGGGGCAGGAGGATCTGAGCCCTGGTAGCAGCTGCCCTGGAGCATCCCTGGGAGCATGCCTGGACTCTGATGCCACTCCTGGAGGGATTTATTCTTGTCTTTTGGGACTCTCCCCAGCCAGTCCTAGCCAAGGACTCATACTAACAGAACCCTGGGAGCAGCAGCCCTGAATTGCTGGTCGGGCTGGAGTGGACCAGTTACAATCCTGTTAACAAGCACATACTTGATCGTGGTTTTACCACAGCCATTTTGAGATCTATTTTCCCTCCATTCTTTGGGTGAAAATAAATCAAGTTATGACTTCTACCCTAGACACAGAGCCCCCCTCAGCTCCACGCTGTGCTTTTTTTTTTTTTTTTAGTCTGGGGTCTTGAACTCTGGGTTTGGGTGCTGTCCCTGCGCTCTTCAGCTCAAGGCGAGCGCTCTATAGCTTGAGCCACAGCGCCACTTCCAGTTTTCTGGTGGCTTATTGCAGATAAGAGTCTCTCAGCCTTTCCTGCCTGGGCTGGCTTTGAACAGTGATCCTCAGATCTCAGCCTCCTGAATAGCTAGAATTACAGGTGTGAGCCGCCGGCGCCCAGCTTAACACTGTGCTTTTTCACTCCTTGTCCTCATGGGTGAAGAACATGCTTTGCTCAAGACACTCATTTCCCAAGACCAAGTGTTGAAAATGGTGCTCTTTTCTGCGGAGTCCTTTCCATCTGTTTCCTGATAACTGAACCCTCCTAACAATGTTATGGAATTGCTGGCATTTTACCCAGGATGCCTCAGAGAAGTGGTGGGGTTTCCCGGAGCCTCCTGCAGGTATCAGGCCCAGAGTTCCAGCCCAGGTTTGTGTTAAAGTCAGCAAGTAGACTTAACCCTGTGAACCTCCCTGCTGTCCTAAATGTTCCACATCCAGGTGTCTATAGAAGGAGGTTTATAGACGGTACGAGTCTGCACAAGGGCATTTGAGATAGCAGATGTGCTGTGCTGTGCTAGACCTCGGAGGTATTGAGCACAAGTCTATATTTCAGTGTATGTATGGCACCGGACAGGTGGGAATTCTACTGGTAAATGCACTGCAGCAGCAGAATGGCTTGGGATTCCTCGTTAGGCTGCAGGTATATCCAGACACCAGTAGCCACTATGACCCAGGTCGTGAGATACCAGTGAACCTGCAAGCAGAGAGGAGCTCTGCTGCTCCAGAGGCAGTCAGTGTGGTGCTGCATCTACCAGGCCTGTGCTCTGCCATCTTCTCTGTGGTCCTGCCTTGCCTGGCTGTGTGAGAAAAGAGAAAGGTTTTTGTCTGGGAAAAAAAGAGGTCATAAAATTTCCTCTCCTTTTTTTCTTTTTGTCCTCTAGTGTTGAGCATGCTTCATAATCCACTGGGAAATGTCCTAGGAAAAAATCCCTTGAGCTTCCTGCCTCTGGATCCTCTTGGGCCTGACCTGGACAAGTTTCCAGCACCTTCTGTTAGAGGACCCCGCTTGGACACCCGGCCCATCCTGGACTCCCGTTCTAGCAGCCCCTCTGACTCAGACACAAGCGGCTTCAGCTCTGGATCGGACCATCTCTCGGACTTGATTGTATGTACGGAGGGCAGCAGGCAGCAGGCAGAGCAGGGCAGGGGGCAGTGTGGCCCGTGTGTCTGCGGAGAAGGAGGGTGGAGGCCATCTGTCCTAGAGCTTGAGCTGGGGAGCCTGTCCTGTGCGTGCAGGCTGGGAGGCGGGCGTGGGGTCTTTACGGCCTCCCAGCGCAGCAGAACCAAGGCACTTTGAATACTCTGAGCAGTGTGTTCTAGGACCTGCGCTAAGTGCTCTCTTTTTACTTGTTATTCGAAAAGCTATCTAAAAACAGACCATCCGAGAGGTAAATATAGGTGTCCTAGGAGTGCTGTTGTTTCCTGATGTACCTGGTATTTTCTTTAGACTTTAATTGGTATCATTTATATGTCTTTATATATGCTATCTTAAAGTTTTTTAAAAAAAATATTGTTATTATAAAGATGTTATACAGAGGGGTTAGTGTTTCATAAGTCAGGTAATAAGTATCTTACTAAAAATGTTAAGCCAGGTGCTTGTGGCTCATGCCTATATTCCTAGCTACTCAGGAGTCTGAGATCTGCATATTGTGATTTAAAGCCAGTCTGGACAGGAAAGTGCAAGACTCTAATCTCCAGCTAACCATCAAAACCAAAAACAACATGGAAGTGTTGCTGTGGCTCAAGTGATAGAGCACTAGTCTTGAGCACAAAAGCTCAGGCCATGAATTTAAGCCCCAGGACTGGCACACACAGAAAAGATTTTAAGTCATAATTTATTAAATGACGTTAGTTAAGTAGCAGCCCTAAGATTTTAATCCAGCTTTGACTGTAGCTCCTGCATTTTCCCCTGACTCATGCTGGCTCTCAGCCTGAGGCTACCCCAGATCAGTGAAGTGCTGCTTTGCAGTTGCTTTGTGCCTTTCATGGTCTACATCTACAGCTGTACATAGCATGTCACAAGGCCAAGCTTAGCACCTGCCATGCCTAGTAGAGGTGGTACATGGTTGAGAGGAGCTGGCAGGAAGAAGGGCTGGCACGGCTGGCTGACGGGCAGAGCGAGCGGCTCCCTGATGTGGGCAATTTCAGCCACCACTGAGCCTGGTTTTCTGATTACCACATTCCCGAGCTGAACGTCCAGCCAGCAGGTTTGTTTTCTCCCCCTCGTCTCTTCCATACCGAGGACTGACAGCATGCACGGTGCTCATGGGCTCCAGAGCTCTCCCTGAGCTTGGCGTTGGAGGCTGGCCTTGGTGTTGCCACTATATAATCTGTTCAGGTCTCAGGTTCTTAAAAGGGCATCCAAAGCAAACACCCTTTCCTGCCCCTCCGGCCAGGTGCTGCCAGCCCTTTGTTACTTAGGAACTTAGTTGTGACCAACTATTTGATTGATGAAACTTTCACAGGTATCCTACTCAAGCGTTAATTGGGAAGAGGAAAAAACAGTTTTTTGGATTTACAGACACTGTTCTATAAGCCAGCTATTTAGATGTGTTGGTACTGTGTCCTTTACCCTGCTGAGTTGGGATGCTGAGCTATGACATACACGTGTTTAGCATAGTGTTCCCATACATCTCTTTTTTGATGGGACGTGGGGGGGGGGGGAGGGAAGGGTGGTGGTAAACAAGGTCTCTCTGTTTAAAGCCCAGATTGGCTTTGAATTCCTGGTCTCCTCCCTCAGCCTCCCTAGAGCTGGGGTTACATATACAAGGATACCCCAACCAGGTCCCATACAATTCTGATAGAACAGAGCCTCAAGGAAAGAATGTTGGCATTCTTCTCCTAGGAATATGACCAAAGAAAATAAAATAGAAACAAGCTATATCTTAGCTAGTTAGGACTGAAAACTTGAACATTTCATGCATATGGTGCCTGTCATGGTAATGTACCCTTGTGATTCTAGCTACTTAGTATGTGGAGGCAGGAGGATCAGGTTTTCAAACCAGCCCAGGGAACATAGCATGAACCTGTCTCCAAAATAATGAGTATGAGATGTAGTTGACTCTGTAAATAAAACATAAATTCGTTTAAGATGTATGAAAACATATGGCAGTGCTGGGTGCTGATGACTCACACCCGTAATCCTCAGAAGGCTGAGATCTAAGGGTCATGGTTCAAATCCACCCTGAGCAGGAAAGTCTACGAGACTCTTATCTCCAATTAACTACCAGAAAACTGAAGTGGTGCTGTGGCTCAAAGTGGTAAAGCACTAGCTTTGAGCAGAAGAGCTCAGGGACAGTGCCCAGACACTGAGTTCACGCCTCATGACAGACCAAAAACCAAAAAACAACCACAAACCTGTCTGGCAATATGGATAAAATGTTGGATGGGTAGAGGTGAACTTGATTAAATCACAGTATAGCCTACAACTAATCTTAAATGCATGGGAAGAAAGTCTAAAGAAAATATATTCAGTGATAAGCGGGTGTTAGGTATTTTCCACAATTTCCGTTGTACAGTTACTGCTTTATAGCAAACAGCCTTTGGAAATCTCTCTTCCTTCCTCCTTCCTTAGTCGAGCCTTCGCATTTCCCCTCCTCTGCCCTTCCTATCCTTGGCCGGGGGCAGTTCCCGGGACGCTCTGAAGATGGGCGTGGGGTCCCGGACGGACCAGGAGCCGGCCACTCTCGCTGCAGTCGCCCCCTCCCCAGCCAGTGCTTCCAAGAGATGCTGGCCAGGAGCATCTGTGTGGCCGTCCTGGCACCTCCTGGAGGCGCCCAAAGACCCCTTCAGCATAGAGCGAGAGGCCAGGCTGCACCGGCAAGCTGCAGGTGAGTGGGGCCTGAGCCTGGTTCTGGGAATGGAGAGGTGGCACCCTGTCATACCAGGGACACCAGTTAGCTTCCCCGAGCCACACAGGGCCCCTGCTGTGGGCGGGAAAGAGCAACTTTTGAGACTGGGTGGCCAGAAAGACACAGCCCGGTGTGCCAGGCGCCTCGTGGGCTTGGCTCTACCTCTCACAGTGGGCTTCCCCCGAGACTGCCACACCGTCCTTACCCGTGGCTCTCCCGTTGGAGGGTTTGCGGAGGCAAACCCCGGGAGCAGATGCCTGGAGCCGTGTCTGCTTGGGTCCTGGTGCTCGCTGGTTGGTATTCTCAGGTGTACGGCGGATGGGTGGTCCGTTGTGTCCCCCTCAGAGGTGGGGGGGAGCCATTTTGTTGCCGAAGGGGTTTGGTATTTGTAATGTTGTATTTTGGGTATACACATGATCAGTGCTGCAGATGGCCTGTCTGTATGGTCACGTGTCAAATGTTTTCTTAGGCCTAGATGGGCCGTTGTTCCTACCCTGGCTCTAAGGTACCGGTGTTACCCTGTGCCTCAGTTTCCAAGGAGGCCTTAAGCATCTGTCATTTAAATGGTCGTAGGTGCGTGTTGGATCTATTTTCCATCTTAAGCGGTGCTTGAAAGTAAGTGAGCTGTATTTGCTGGTGATGAGAGGAGGTGCCGACGGGCCGCTGTCCCGAGGGCCTAGCGTTGGCGACTAAGTGTGTGGAGGTTTCTGTCTGGTTTGCCTCTGTGGGCTTCAGTGCTGCTCCTGAGCTTGTTTTCCCACAGCGCTGCTGCTTGGGTGGCTGCTGGTGGCGGCAGCCGCCCCTGTGCCTTCTCTGCCGCGTTGTGCTCTGTGAGATGACATTACCCAGGTTTTAGATGAGGCTATTATATTGACTTCCATTTTTGCCATAAAACATTGCTGGCAGGGGCTGGGAAGGTGGCTCAGTGGTAGAGCGCTTGCCTTGCATGCCTGAGGCCCTGGGTTCGATTCCTCAGCACCACATAAGCAAAAAAGAAAAAAGCCGGAAGTGGCGCTGTGGCTCAAGTGGTAGAGCACTAGCCTTGAGCTGAAGAGCTGAGGGACAGCGCCCAGGCCCAGAGTTCAGGCCCCACGACCGGACCCAAAAAAACAAAACAACAACAACAAAAAAAAACATTGCTGGTAGTGCCTAATATCTTGGCTATAGCAACACACTGGGCCTGTTTCCTTTTCAGGACTGGCTTTGTTGCATGTCCTCGTCCTGTTGGTGGCTGAGGGAGGAGGGTAAATGTGTCACGCCCAGCTTGTCCCCACCAGGGCCAGCCTCTGATGGAGAAGGGCCTTGGTTACCAAGAACAGGCCTCAAGAAGCAAGGACAAGCTGGTGGTACATACTGTCACCCCAGCATCAGAAGGGAGCAAGTTTGAGGCCAGCTTGAGCTATATACTGACCGAGATCCTTTCCCAAAACTAAATGACAACAATGAAAAAGAAATAGAGGTAGACCAAACAAAAGATGATCCCAAACCTGTATGACAGGAAGGGCTCTTTTTTCTTTAAGATTTGTGTGTGTGTGTGTGTGTGTGTGTCTCACAGTCTTGCTGTGGACTCTAGGCTGGATTTGAACCCATAGTCCTCCTGCATCTACCAACTACATGCTGGGGTAATTAGTGTGTGCCACCGAGACAGGAGGGACTTCTTAACACTTGTGTCTGACACACATTGAAAGGAAGGGTTGAGAATGAATCTACTCTCAAATCATACAAGCAGAAAACAAGGCCGTGTGTGTCCAGGTGCTGTAAAGATAGCTCTGGTGGTTAGGGGGCGTGGTTGGGGAACCATTGGGAACACCCCTGTCTTGTTGAGTTGCTTGTGGTAGTTTTTATTGGTAGTGTGACTGCAGAATTCAGAACCAAGACAGGTTAATAATGTAGCATTCCTCTTGAACACTGGAGAGAAAGTCTGCTTGGATGACTCAGCCTGCAGGAGGGATTGAGTACACCGCTGCTCTGTTTATTTTCTTGCAATTATAAATGAGCACTATAAGCAGTAACAAGGTAAAGTTGCTTTGTGGCTAGTGTACCAGTCATATATTTGAAAATAGCTCAGGTTAGAGCATTTTTTCCCTCTCTTTCTGGTGTTCTTTCCATTTTGGAGGGACAGCCCTGGTGAGTTGGGATTAGCAGATTCCACTGACTGGTAAGAGGAAGCAGCCATGGCTACTGCCCTGACGGTAGGTTAAGGCTGTGGCCAGGGAAGGATGGCGACCTCCGAGTTCTCTGATCCCTCCACTCTTGTCCTTGGCCAAAGCTGTGAATGAAGCCACCTGCACCTGGAGTGGCCAGCTTCCCCCTCGGAGCTACAAGAACCCCATCTACTCGTGCAAGGTGTTCCTGGGAGGCGTCCCCTGGGACATTACGGAAGGTGAGCTCCCTCCACAGCCTCTGCCGCCACAGTCCCCCTGGCTCAGCATTTCACAGCCTGGTGCTATGCTGTCAACAGAGGTCACCAGAGGTCAGGTCCCCGGTGTCTCCCCCACCTTGAGCCTGCAGGGAAGATGTGTGGGACCCTGTGCTGGGCTTTTCCTTTGTGTGGGGAGGGCACGCCCCTGTGCTGTCCTCACTCCTCCTGTTCTTTTCTGCCTCTTTGCAGCGGGGTTGGTTAACACCTTCGGTGTGTTTGGCTCTCTGAGTGTGGAGTGGCCTGGTAAGGATGGCAAGCACCCCCGGCGCCCTCCCAAAGGTAATGTGCCTAAAGGTAATACACACGTGGTAGGAGGTTTTTTTTGCCCTTTCTCGTATGTAACTGTCCTACGCGGTGCTGGGCTGTGCCTGCGCATGCGGGTCCTTTGGTAGCTCTCCAGGGCCTATCCTCCCTCCTCAGCCTCACACACCTCCTGGCCCCTGTGTCCTCTGTCTGTTTGCACTCACAGTCTAGACCCAAGCCCCAGGACATGTTCCACCCGGGGTGACGTATCCCTCTCACTTGCTCTGCTGCCATTTGGGTTGTGGCCTGACCTAATTCTGAGATCCCTTTAGAGTAGGCAGGAATGAGGACTGAGCACCTGATTCCTCTCTGATCTGAAATGAGATCCTGTCCCTGTGCTGTTGGACTCTCTGCCATCTTCCCAGAATTAAGCCAGGGGTTTACCTGTGCTCTTGAAGCAATCCCGCGTCTCCTGGTGGCCCCCAGCACTGCCACCTCCAGGCTCTGCTGCCCTGAGCAGGCCTGTGTTCTGAGGCAGTGTGTTTGTGGTAGGATCCTGCTCTGCTGGCCAGTGCCTTCGCCTCCCTGGCAGGAAATGCCACACCGCACTTTCCTTGGGCCTGGCCGTAGGGCATGGCCAGGGCTTCCGTTCACAATTCACCAGGGGCAGACCTCCCTGCTGCAACAGGGAGCCAGCAGAGCCAGCTGCCTGCGGGACTCACGCGGCGCTGTCTCCTCTTGTTGGGAACAGGATATGTGTACCTGGTGTTCGAGCTCGAGAAGTCTGTGCGGGCCTTGCTTCAGGCTTGTTCTCACGACCCTCTCAGCCCAGACGGCCTGAGTGAATATTACTTCAAAATGTCCAGCCGGCGGATGCGCTATAAGGAGGTGAGTCAGCGCCGTGGCCGCAGCCCGCCCTCTGCTCTCCAGTCCAGGATGTCAGCGGCATGCCCTTTCTGGGCGAGGGGGTCAGTGGGTTCCTTATCAGAGTGGATGTGCAGGCGGCAGGCTAGCATGCTGTCCCTGAGCACAGAGAGGCTCAGGGACAGTGCCCAGGCCCTGAGTTCAAACCCTACAGTTGGAAGAAAAAAAAAATCTTGGGGCCTTAATGGCCTTGGGGGTAATGGGAATGTGTGCATTCGTGCACCTGCCTCCTGCCTGTGCGATCAGGTGATCCCCTCCCTTCCTACCTTGCCCAGACCTGTCCTGGGGTGAAGGTGAAAGCAGCGGCTCTCTCTGTGTGGACGTAACGGATGCGTCCTGCTCTCAGGCAGAGCCCTCTCCCCACTGAGGCGACCACACCCACCAAGGCTTTTTCCTTCCCACTAGTGGTGTCATTTTCTCTGTGACACTCTCCGTTCACCTGGTGACGTCAGTGCTGTGTCCCTGGCCTCATGGAGTTACTCACTTTGGAGAGCCTCACCCCAGTCCTGGTGGGGTTTAGAAATCTCCACTCTATTCAGGCTCTCAGAGTGGTTCTAGTGGATGGGGTTGGAGAGTCACATATTCTGGGCTCAAGAATCTGAGCACATTGCTTTTGTGATATGGGGCTAGACACTTAGTATCTCTGAATGTTCACTTCCTCATCTATAAAACAAGGAGCTAAAATTAACTTTTTTAATTAAAAAGATCAAGAGTTGTCAGGGTTTAGAAGGGGACAGGAATATGCATAGCCCAAGGTTTTCAGGGCAGTAAAGCTACTCTGGTTTTGTAATGGGGGGTAGATGTCATTATAACTCAGTCTGAACCCTCAGAATACATGACAGAAATCAAGGTGAGCTGTGGGTGTGAGGGCCGCTGTGTCACACCCGCCCAGCGTGCCATGTGTTGGTGGTTGGGGACGCGAAACTCCTGGTGCCTTCTGCTCACTTCACCGTAAACCTCAACTGCTTTCAAAAATCACATCTGTAGTTTCACATTTTTAACGTAAGGTATTATATATTATATATATTAACATAACCCGTTAACAAATCTGGTTTTTTATATAGCTGTTTCCAGTATTACTCAAGTCCTTTCTTAGTGACAGAGCAAATGTGTTCTCTGGCTGCCCACAGCTCCCATAGCTGTGGCCCATAGCTCCCTCCTTCCCCTGGCCCTCTTGCTACATGGTGCTTGGGCAGCAGCTTGGCCTCCTCACATCACACAGGCTTTCCCCTTGCTCCCTGCTTCTGCACACAGAACGGCACCCCGTGGAGCGCCCACCCTGCGGGCCCTGGTAACATGCGCTCCCTCCCACGCCCTCCTCATTGCCTTACAGAAATTGGACATGTTTCTGTGATGCTTTAAAGGCTACAAGCTGTTCTACTTCTCTAACTCCTCTTTTTCCTCTGTGTCTTCCTCCGACTCCCATTCACTCCTTCCTTTCTTTCCACTCTGGATTAAGTGCTCACTTGGTAGCTAGGCTCAGGCCTGTAGACCAGATTGATTTGGGCCTTGCTTCCAGTTCCTGATGACCCGGATTGGCCCAGGCCTCCGCTTCCTGTGGGACCCTCTTTTGGGATGTCCTATGGGCCTCAATGCTTCTGTGCTGGAATTGGCTTCCCTGGGTAACTCTGCCTGGCTATCGTTCCTGACTCCCTTTCCCCGTCCTGGCAGTCTGGCTTCCGCAGGCTTTTTTCTCTGTTCTGCACCTGCAGTTCCACTGCCACCATCCAGGGCTCGGCTGCTGCTCCTTTAGACTTGGCCAGTTTCTTTTTTTCTTTTTTTTTTTTTTTGTCGGTCGTGGGGCTGAACTCTGGGCCTGGGCGCTGTCCCTCAGCTCTTCAGCTCAAGGCGAATATTCTACCACTTAAGCCACATTTCCACTTTCAGTTTTCTGGTGGTTTATTGGAGATAAGAATCTCATGGACTTTTCCTGCCTAGGCTGGCTTTGAACCACGATCCTCAGATCTCAGCCTCCTGAGTAGCTAGGATGACAGGCGTGAGCCACCGGCGCCTGGCGGACTTGACCAGTTTCTACCTCAGGTCTCTGATTATTTCACAACTGGTGTTAAAGATCATCATCGATCACTTTTCCAAAAACATCTGTTGGCTGTCTGTCTGCGAATTCATAGTGGACTCTTCCGCCTACTCTACCATTTTGTTTCTGGCCTTAGAAGTTTTAGAGGCAAAGACACCATCAGCTCCTGGCCAGCATTCCTCAGTCTGTGGGGCCTCTCTGCTGGTGCTGAGCTGCGCTGCCAGTGCCCGGCCGCTGCCTCCCGTGCCAGTACCTGTCTCCCCAGCCTCAGACCTGTCTGCTCTCAGCTCCTAACTGCTCTGTGAATCCTTCCTTTCCTGGGGCCGCCTCCTTCCTGGAGGCCAAGTGTGCCATTTATTCTCAGTCTCCAGGACCCTGGTGGTGGCTGTGCACAGCGGCAGGTTCCTGGGCTGACAGGTGGCATGTTGTTTACTCTCCAGGATGGTGAGTGACGCTCTTCCACTTGCTTTCACATGAACTCCAGTTGTACTGGCGCTGGTGCCTTCCAGAGGCCTGTACCTGGCACAGGTGATAATGTCTTTTCAGCTCTGCTCAGCCCAGCGGACCCCGCAGGTACCTCTGGAGCACGTGCCTGCCATCCAGGACACTCTCTGGCTCTCTGCAGGGCTGATGGGCCTTTTTGGGGTTCCAGGTGCAGGTGATCCCCTGGGTCCTGGCTGACAGCAACTTCGTCCGGAGCCCGTCCCAGAGGCTGGACCCCAGCAGGACGGTGTTCGTGGGTGCCCTGCACGGAATGCTCAATGCCGAGGCCCTGGCTGCCATCTTGAATGACCTGTTTGGTGGAGTGGTGTATGCTGGGATTGACACTGATAAGCACAAGTACCCCATTGGTGAGTGTCCTGCTGACACGGATAAGCCCCAGCACTCCTCTCACACTCTTGGTGAGCGTGCTGCTCCTGCGTCGGCAGTGAGGCGATGCCTTGGTGCAGGCAGGGAGAGGCCTGACCCTGCCTGCGGGGTCACACGTGCCAGCAGCCTCACGTCAGCCCCTCCCTGACAGGCCACCAGGCCGGCCCCAGCCCCTTTGCACTCAGCTTCCACTCCCACCCCCATGTGGGGGAGAAAGTGCTGGCCACTCTGGTACAGCGAGAATGAAGTGGTAACTCTGTTGGTAGCTCAGGGTTGTTAGCTGACCGGTCAGGACCGACACCAAGCAATACTCAATTACCACACCTTTCTGAACTTACCCAGTGTCCTTGATTTAGAAGGTTTTGAGTACAGGGGAAGTGGCAGCCATCCATCTACAATCCCAGCTACTTGGAGGCAACGATGAGGAGGATCCCAGTTCAAGGCCAGCCCAGGCATAAGGCCCGTCAAGCAGGGCGAGGCAGCTTCATGGCTGTGAACCCCACTGCCTGGGGAGGGACAGGTGGTCATAGATAGGAGGATCACAGTCTGAGGCTTGCTCTGAGCCCCTCTCTGAAGAAATAAAGCAGAGGCTGGGGTTGGAGTTCAAGTGGCAGTGTGTCTGCCTGGCAAGTGCACAGGCTCAAGCCCCAGGACTGCCAGAAAAGAAGCAGGTTCTTGAAATGCTCCAGGCCGTCTAGGGGCAGAGACCAGGCCAGCTGGAGGAGGAAACCACCTGCCTCCGTTTGTGGGAGTCTCTGCGTCTACCACTGGGTTCTGACCAGCTCCTGTGAGCAAGGTTATTTCACTGATACGGAGGTAGAGTTTGGAAGTGGGGCGGTGGAGCCTCAACTCTGTGGTGCATACATGTCAGACCCTCCCCACCCCAGCTTTCCGTCTGCAGCCCACACCACGTCTGGCCAGGAAGGAGCACGGTGCGCTGCTAGGCAGTGCTCCTCCCGACTGAGAACAAGGACTCCGGGCCGCAGGGTGCAGGCGGCACCTGGCTGGACAGGGCTTCTGCATCTCCGGCCTGTTGTCCTCCAGAGAGGGGTTCCTTCTGCATTGTGGTTCCACCCTGAACCTGCTTCTGATCTCCCCATCAGTCTGCGTGGAGAGGCCCTGCCCCTCCCCCCTCCCCTCGGGGCAGCTCCTGCCCATGTGAATGTGGTAGCCACTGTTGAACTGTGGCTCTGTGGCTGTTGGAAGTGAGGTGTTACCACATGCTAAAATGATTATTTTGAACACATGGGTTCAGTAAGATGGTTCCCCCCCTTTTATTTCAAAATTACTGCTACAAAACTAGAAGTTACGCACCTGCTAGCATGGTCCTTCTTTTGGGCAGCACTGGCATAGAAGGCAGGGCATGGTGGTGTAGGCACGGGCACTGGAGCTGGGCTGAGCCCTGTCTTGCTCCTAGGTTCTGGTCGTGTGACGTTCAGTAACCAGCGCAGTTACCTGAAAGCCGTCAGTGCCGCTTTTGTGGAGATCAAAACCACCAAGTTCACGAAGAAGGTAAGTGGGCTGGTTTCTGGCCTCATTCTGGGGGTGTCTGAGGGTTTGGGCCAGTTGCTACCCAGTTCAGGCCTGCATCTAGGGACCCAGCCAGCTGTAGAATGAGCATGAGGTTAGGGGTTTGGTTGTCTGGTCTTGGGCTCCGCAGGAAGGAGACATGGGACAGTTGAGCTGCCCAAGGGTATAGGGTGCCTGGCCGCACATGGCCTCTGTCTGCTGAGTGGCCCAGCTTCCCCTTCTCTGGATTCCCTACGCCTGCCTGGTGGGGACCTAAGTGTGTCCGGGAGAAGACGGCTTGGCCCAGCACCACCTGAGCTGTCTCCCAGGACCCTGTCCAACCCCTGCCCCCGCGTCTCTCTGGCATCTGCCATTCTGACACGGGGCCATGACCCTGTGTGCCTGGGCCGCGATGGTGCTTCTGGCCCCGTCAGAAGGGCCGTTTCACCATCCTCCGTGCTTGTCTGCAGGTCCAGATTGACCCCTATCTAGAGGACTCTCTTTGTCACATCTGCAGCTCTCAGCCTGGTCCTTTCTTCTGTCGTGATCAGGTGAGTCCCCACTCCCTGGAGAGGTCTGTGGCCTCCATTAACAGTGGTGAAGCCCTACTTGTGACATACAGTGGTGGAGTTGAGTGGGAGCAGAGGAGAGAGCAGACGTGGACCCCCGTGATGAGTGGCGTGGCTGGACTCCAGGGGATGCTTGCTGAGTGGAGTCTTCTTCGTGCACTGCCGCTCTGTCTAGTGGATCAGTGAGCCAGATCACAGAATGATCTGCGCTCAAGTCTCCAGATGGATTTCTCTCCCTTCTGAGGGGAACCTGGGCCCCGGAGTTTGCTCCCCTCTGTCCCCTGGTCGACGCTGCTACTTATGTCTGGTTAGTCACCGAGTCAGCAACGGAGGCAGTGCGGCCTCGTTCCACGGGATGTTTCTGGGTGATGGCACGCGCAGGGCTGGTGTGGCGGGCAGGGCACGTGCCGGGACCTTGTTAGGTGCCGTCTGAGTCGGCGGGTTCGGGTGAGTACTGGCGTCTGTGGTGTTGATGCTGCTGTCATGATGTGCTCTGAGGGACAGTACACACTAGCTGTCCACACAGGCGTGCGTTTTGCTTCTCACGGTGATGCTGTGGTCCTGGGAGGCTCTGTAGTGTGAGTTCAGTGTGGGTAGGCAAAATCTGGCAAGTGCTCCCAGGGACAGCAGCCTTCCCCGGGGCTCAGAGGCTGGACCAATACAGAGGTGTCTGTCCCCACTTCCCGGAGGAAACGTAGCACGTGCCCCTCCCACGCTGGCCGCGCGTGCTGACCCAGCTGCTGTGGGCAGGCAAGGGCAGTGAATGGAAGCATGGCGGGAGGGGCACAGGGAGCCGTGCGCTCCGGCACCCCGGAAACAAGACGGGCCTAACGGCCTCTTTCTGCTGGCTGAGGCTGCCACAGGGCCCTAGGCCTCTGCGGGTGTGGCAGTGCCATCTCCCCTCTCTGTTCCGCCACCCAGGTCTGCTTCAAGTACTTCTGTCGGAGCTGCTGGCACTGGCGGCACAGCACGGAGGGCTTGCGCCACCACAGCCCGCTGATGCGGAATCAGAAGAATCGGGAGGCCAGCTAGAGGAGCCGGCCTCTGGCAGAGCCGGGGCGCGTGGCTGGCAGGTCGGCCGCAGTCCCGCAGTCCCTAGCCACTGGCGACCAGGGGGCCGGCTTCTCCAGGACAAGGGAAAATTGTAGTCACCTTTGCACTTGCTGAGTCTGTCTTTGTTTCTGCACTAATGATGCACAGTGAGTTTTGTCGGGCTTTGTTTTCAGGGCGTGCGCCATGGCAGGCATCCTCTGGCTCACCCCAAGCGACTCCATCCTTCTCCTAGATTTCAGTTCCTCATTTTGCATATGAGAAGCAAAAAAAAAAAAAAAAAGGAACTATGTCCAGAAGGCGTTGACTCGGCTGCCTGCACCTAGGTTTGTTTATGCTCAGATGACATTCCTGCAGTAGGGATGGTGACAGAGGCCGCAGGCCATTGGTTTCGTTCTTGCGGTTGCCATACAGTGCCTTTCCATTGTTTAACCCCCACCTGAACGGCATAAACTGAGTGTTCAGCTGGTGTTTTTTTACTGTAAACAACAAGGAGACTTTGCTCTTCATTTAAACCAAATCATATTTCATATTTTATGCTAGAGGGTTTTTACCGGTTCCTTTTTACACTCCTTAAAACAGTTTTTAAGTTGTTTGGAACAAGATACTTTTTTCTTTCCTGGCAGCTTTTAACATTAGCAGGTCTGTGTCCGAGGGACTGCAGGTCACTCTTCTCAAGAGTTGCAGATTCAAAGCATTTGCAACCAAGAACACACTTTTTTGTCTTATTTGAAACTGGACCGGAAGGGATGTCTGAGCGGCGGCTGCTGTGCGTAGTTTTAAGTGGCTTTCTGCCCCTTCTTCAGTTGCACTCGCGTGGGGGAGGGCGATAGACGTTTTTAATCACAAAGTCACACGACTTTTTTCTTTTGTAACTGAGCTAAAAAAAAAAAAAAGGGCTGCTTTTGTGGTGGGGGCGGACGAGGCTCCCGAGGCCCCTGGGAGGCCAGCTCCCTCCCCACACCTTTCATTCCAGCAGAGAGTCAACAATGGACTGAAATGCTACTGGGACTTGAAAACGACTTTTTACTTTCCATTTCTTTAGTTTTAAATTACTACCTGCCCTTCCTAGGGAAGCTGTGTGCCAAAGAGCCAGTGTCATAGCCCTCCCCCGCGCCGCCCTGCTGTCCCGGCCGCTCTGCTCGGGTTCTGTGAAGCTGTGTGAAGTCTCTACCTCATTGTAGCACCTGCAGGCAGCCGCACTCCTGCAGCACGTGGGGTGAGCTGTGGTGTAGTTTTTCTGGCACATAATAAACACGTTGCAGCAAGTTTGCTTTTGTCTCTGTGCTTGGGGCGTAGAAGCCAGTGGGGAGGGGGTCGGGAGGGGTGCTTGGCTCCAAGTGGCTAGCGCTGGCCTGAGCAGGACAGCTCTGGACTGGCGCCCAGACCTCAGTGGGACAGCTCAGGTCGGCGCCCAGGCCTGAGTTCAAGCCCCATGGCCTTGCCTGCGGCTTCTGTGAGGGGTCCAGCCTAGGAGGGCGGAGGACCTAGGGGGACGGAGGACCTAGGGGGACGGAGGACCTAGGAGGGCGGAGGACCTAGGAGGACGGAGGACCTAGGACGGAGGACCTAGGGGGACGGGGGACCTAGGAGGACGGAGGACCTAGGACGGAGGACCTAGGGGGACGGAGGACCTAGGAGGATGGAGGACCTAGGACGGAGGACCTAGGAGGACGGAGGACCTAGGAGGACGGAGGACCTAGGAGGGCGGAGGACCTAGGAGGGCGGAGGACCTAGGGGGACGGAGGACCTAGGAGGACGGAGGACCTAGGACGGAGGACCTAGGACGGAGGACCTAGGGGGACGGAGGACCTAGGAGGACGGAGGACCTAGGACGGAGGACCTAGGACGGAGGACCTAGGGGGACGGAGGACCTAGGAGGGCGGAGGACCTAGGACGGAGGACCTAGGACGGAGGACCTAGGGGGACGGGGGACCTAGGAGGGCGGAGGACCTAGGACGGAGGACCTAGGGGGACGGAGGACCTAGAAGGACGGAGGACCTAGGGGGACGGAGGACCTAGGATGGAGGACCTAGGGGGACGGAGGACCTAGGAGGACGGAGGACCTAGGGGGACGGAGGACCTAGGACGGAGGACCTAGGACGGAGGACCTAGGAGGACGGAGGACCTAGGAGGACGGAGGACCTAGGACGGAGGACCTAGGAGGGCGGAGGACCTAGGAGGGCGGAGGACCTAGGGGGACGGAGGACCTAGGGGGACGGAGGACCTAGGACGGAGGACCTAGGGGGACGGGGGACCTAGGAGGACGGAGGACCTAGGGGGACGGAGGACCTAGGAGGACGGAGGACCTAGGACGGAGGACCTAGGACGGAGGACCTAGGGGGACGGGGGACCTAGGAGGGCGGAGGACCTAGGGGGACGGAGGACCTAGGACGGAGGACCTAGGGGGACGGAGGACCTAGGAGGACGGAGGACCTAGGACGGAGGACCTAGGACGGAGGACCTAGGGGGACGGAGGACCTAGGGGGACGGAGGACCTAGGACGGAGGACCTAGGAGGGCGGAGGACCTAGGACGGAGGACCTAGGGGGACGGGGGACCTAGGAGGACGGAGGACCTAGGACGGAGGACCTAGGAGGGCGGAGGACCTAGGACGGAGGACCTAGGGGGACGGGGGACCTAGGGGGACGGAGGACCTAGGAGGACGGAGGACCTAGGACGGAGGACCTAGGACGGAGGACCTAGGGGGACGGGGGACCTAGGAGGGCGGAGGACCTAGGACGGAGGACCTAGGGGGACGGAGGACCTAGAAGGACGGAGGACCTAGGGGGACGGAGGACCTAGGACGGAGGACCTAGGGGGACGGAGGACCTAGGGGGACGGAGGACCTAGGAGGACGGAGGACCTAGGAGGACGGAGGACCTAGGAGGGCGGAGGACCTAGGACGGAGGACCTAGGGGGACGGGGGACCTAGGAGGACGGAGGACCTAGGGGGACGGAGGACCTAGGAGGACGGAGGACCTAGGACGGAGGACCTAGGACGGAGGACCTAGGGGGACGGGGGACCTAGGAGGGCGGAGGACCTAGGACGGAGGACCTAGGGGGACGGAGGACCTAGAAGGACGGAGGACCTAGGGGGACGGAGGACCTAGGACGGAGGACCTAGGGGGACGGAGGACCTAGGGGGACGGAGGACCTAGGAGGACGGAGGACCTAGGAGGATGGAGGACCTAGGACGGAGGACCTAGGACGGAGGACCTAGGGGGACGGAGGACCTAGGAGGGCGGAGGACCTAGGACGGAGGACCTAGGGGGACGGGGGACCTAGGAGGACGGAGGACCTAGGGGGACGGAGGACCTAGGGGGACGGAGGACCTAGGAGGACGGAGGACCTAGGAGGGCGGAGGACCTAGGAGGGCGGAGGACCTAGGGGGACGGAGGACCTAGGGGGGAGGACCTAGGGGGACGGAGGACCTAGGGGGACGGAGGACCTAGGACGGAGGACCTAGGGGGACGGAGGACCTAGGACGGAGGACCTAGGGGGACGGAGGACCTAGGAGGACGGAGGACCTAGGAGGACGGAGGACCTAGGAGGACGAAGGACCTAGGAGGGCGGAGGACCTAGGGGGACGAAGGACCTAGGGGGACGGAGGACCTAGGAGGACGGAGGACCTAGGACGGAGGACCTAGGGGGACGGGGGACCTAGGAGGACGGAGGACCTAGGACGGAGGACCTAGGGGGACGGAGGACCTAGGACGGAGGACCTAGGGGGACGGAGGACCTAGGAGGACAGAGGACCTAGGACGGAGGACCTAGGACGGAGGACCTAGGGGGACGGGGGACCTAGGAGGGCGGAGGACCTAGAAGGACGGAGGACCTAGGAGGACGGAGGACCTAGGACGGAGGACCTAGGGGGACGGAGGACCTAGGAGGACGGAGGACCTAGGACGGAGGACCTAGGAGGACGGAGGACCTAGGGGGACGGAGGACCTAGGAGGACGGAGGACCTAGGGGGACGGAGGACCTAGGACGGAGGACCTAGGGGGACGGAGGACCTAGGGGGACGGAGGACCTAGGACGGAGGACCTAGGACGGAGGACCTAGGAGGACGGAGGACCTAGGACGGAGGACCTAGGGGGACGGAGGACCTAGGGGGACGGAGGACCTAGGGGGACGGAGGACCTAGGAGGACGGAGGACCTAGGACGGAGGACCTAGGAGGACGAAGGACCTAGGAGGACGAAGGACCTAGGAGGGCGGAGGACCTAGGGGGACGAAGGACCTAGGGGGACGGAGGACCTAGGGGGACGGAGGACCTAGGGGGACGGAGGACCTAGGAGGACGAAGGACCTAGGACGGAGGACCTAGGACGGAGGACCTAGGGGGACGGAGGACCTAGGAGGGCGGAGGACCTAGGAGGGCGGAAGACCCAGGAGGGCGGAGGACCTAGGGGGACGGAGGACCTAGGAGGGCAGAGGACCTAGGATGACCGAGCCTCTCCACGGCGGGTCCCCGGCCTCGAAGGTGGCAGAGCCTGGCCAGGAGGCGAGGCGGGACCCGCATGCGCACCCCGCGCGCCCTGCCCCCGCACGGCCACCCTGGCTTCCTGCAGGACGTGGCCTCCGGGGCCTGGACGTCGTGGTAGAGACCCTGGCGGACACGTCGGCCAGGAGCCCGGCATTCCCTGAAGCCGGGGGGTCGGGGTTCGGGGAGCCGGGGGGTCAGGGGTCTGGGGGGAGCTGGAGGTCGGGGTCCGGGGAGTCCGGGATCGGGGGTCCGGGGTCGGGGAGCCAGGGATCTGGGATCCGGGGTTGGGAGCCTGGGATCGGGGTCGGGGGTCTGGGATCGGGGGTCTGGGATCAGGGATCGGGGGATCAGGGGTCGGGGGGCCGGGGATCTGGGATGGGGGGCCGGGATCAGGGGTGGGGGGGAGGGGCCTGGGAGCCGGGGGGTCGGGGAGGCGGGGATCTGGGATCGGGGGTCCGGGTCCGGGCCCCCCAGGCTGCCCCGGCCGGCAGGGACGGGTGGTGGCCGCAGGGGTGGCGTGAAGACGCCGGGTCCTCACCTGGCGTGCGCGCAGGACGCGCTCCAGGCCGGGCGCGGCCGCCGGGTCCCGACCGAGAAGGCGGCGGCGCAGCCTGGCCGCAGCGCTCCGAGCTCGGCGCCGGACGGCGGCCGTCCGGGAGAAAGGACCGGCTCCCCGTGGCCCGCGGGCGGCGCGCGTCCGCCCCGGTCCGCGGCTCCAGGCGGGGCGGCCGTCTCGGGAGCCAGGCGCGAAGCCTCCCCACGCCGCCACGCGCGGGGCGGTGCTTCCGAGGCTGCGCCCGGGCCCCCCCAGGGCGGCGGCGGCCCCGCCCCCCCGCTCCACTTCCACCCCGGGCCGCCAGGGGGCGCCGCGGGCCCCAGCGCGCTCGGCGCCTCCCGAGCCGGGCGGAAGCGGCCTTCTGGCCGGAGCCTTATAGCTCTCCGTGGTGCTTCCTGTTTCCTCTTCCGCCGGGACCGCCGACATGGTAGGTGCTGGTCCGCCCGCCCCGGCGTCCGCATCCCCCTCCATCCTCGGCCCTCCGCGGGCCCCGGGCCCCGGGACTCCGGCAGGCTGGAGGCCGGCGGCGGCGTTCCCCGGACGGGGCCGCCGGTGACTGTCTCCCCCGCCCGCAGGGCCGCGTTCGCACCAAGACCGTGAAGAAGGCGGCGCGGGTCATCATCGAGAAGTACTACACGCGGCTGGGCAACGACTTCCACACCAACAAGCGCGTGTGCGAGGAGATCGCCATCATCCCCAGCAAGAAGCTCCGCAACAAGATCGCGGGGTGAGCGGGGCCGGGCCGGGCTGGCTGCGCGGGGCTGCGCGGGGCCGGGCTGGCTGCGCGGGGCCGGGCTGGGCCGGGCTGGCTGCGCGGGGCTGCGCGGGGCCGGGCTGGCTGCGCGGGGCCGGGCTGGCTGCGCGGGGCTGCGCGGGGCCGGGCTGGCTGCGCGGGGCTGCGCGGGGCCGGGCTGGCTGCGCGGGGCTGCGCGGGGCCGGGCTGGCTGCGCGGGGCCGGGCTGGCTGCGCGGGGCCGGGCTGGGCCGGGCTGGCTGCGCGGGGCCGGGCTGGGCCGGGCTGGCTGCGCGGGGCCGGGCTGGGCCGGGCTGGCTGCGCGGGGCCGGGCCGCAGTGGCCCGGGCTGGGCTGCGCTGGGCCGCTCCCGGCTGCTCCCTTCCCGCCTGGGCCGGGCTGGCCTGCGTGCCCTGGCACCAGGGCGAATTGACGCGCTCCTGTCCTGGGCATGTGCGCCCCCAGGTATGTCACGCACCTGATGAAGCGGATTCAGAGGGGCCCGGTGCGGGGCATCTCCATCAAGCTGCAGGAGGAGGAGAGAGAAAGGAGGGATAACTACGTCCCGGAGGTAAGTCAGCCTTTCGCCTGCCTTGGCCGAGACAGATGAAATCCTTCCTCCGCGCGAGATCCCTTTGGCCGGTGCAGCGGGGCCCGGGCTTACGTGCCCTGAGCACCGGAGGGATGCCTGTGGAGTCTGGTGGCTCAGGCCGTGAACCACTTGGGGTCTTTCTCACTTGGGAGGGAGGCAGGGTGAGGAGTCCAAACTGAGAGCGGCTCGCTCCTCCCCTCCTAGGTCTCAGCCCTGGACCAGGAGATCATTGAAGTTGATCCTGACACCAAGGAAATGCTGAAGCTCTTGGTGAGTGCCAGGCCTCTGAAAGGGTTCTGCTGTGGGAGGCAAGCACTGGATAAGCTGGGAATCAAACCGGTGGTGGCCGTTAAAGGTCCAGTACTAACTTCAGAAAGAACTGGTCTCGGGTTGGGAAGGTGGCCCAGTGGTAGAGCGCTTGCCTTACATGCATGAGGCCCTGGGTTCGATTCCTCGGCACCTCATAAGCAGAAAATGTTGGAAGTGGTGCTGTGGCTCAAGTGGTAGAGCGCTAGCCTTGAGCTGAAGAGCTGAGGGACAGCGCCCAGGCCCGCTACCGGACCCAAAAAAATGAAAAAAAACAAAACTGGTCTCCTCCAGGTGCATGCCAGGCTTACAAGTATTTCCAGTCAGAACGTTTTCTTCTGTGTTTATATTTATCTATATTGCTCGGTGAAAGGAACAGGTTCAGGTTCATAAAGATAACACGTTCCTGCCACCAGCTTTGGGAAAACAGAACAGCTACTGGCCCCTGTCTTTTCTTAGAGAATCACTGTTGTGACTGTGAAGGGTATTTGTACTGGGCCTGACGCATGAGCTGGGCCTGGATCTTCCCCTGAGCTTTTTTAAAGTTCATAGTTGGTGCTCTACCTCTTGAGCTAGAGCTCCACTTCTGCTATTCTGGTGGCTTATCGGAGAGGAGTCTTGTGGATTTGCTGCCATCTGCACAGGGTATTTGCAGTAGTGACTTCGTGGTATTGTGCCAGGGCTGGTCCTGGAGAGGCTTGGCTTTGTGTATGTGTGGGTATCCTGTGGGGAAGTGTTGCTCTGGGGACCCCTACCCCCAAAACCCGACTGTGCCAGGACATGCTTGCACGGCCTACATCCTTTCCTGCACACGAAGTCCTCTTTCGATGGTCCCCCGTGCTGTGAAAGCTGCTCGTGTGGTAATGACCCACAGGGAGACCTTCCACACAGTGTGTGGTGGAGGGCGTCTGCTGGTGAGCCCCAGTCTGGCAGGGGTGCCCACGTGAGCGCCAGCCTGCTGTGCTTCCGATGAGGTGGCTGACAGGCCAGGTTGGGGGAAGGTCCTAGAAGGGGGGGGTGCTGTGTGGCCAGGGAAATCCCTGGGGGGCGGCCGCTCACGCTGTCTGTTCTGTTCCAGGACTTTGGCAGCCTCTCCAACCTGCAGGTCACTCAGCCAACTGTGGGGATGAATTTCAAAACACCGCGTGGAGCTGTTTAATCTACTTTGCTGTAATATTTTCAATAAACTGGGACACCAGCCTCGCCTCTGATCGCCCAGGCAGCCGAGGGTGGAGCCAGCCCCTTCCGCCTTCCGGGGGCCGGGGCGCGGGTCCGCCGAGCCTGCAGTGGGCACGCTCCGCCAGCCTCTCTGGCCCGGCCGTGGGTGTTGTGGTTCCAGGTTCCAGGCGGGAGGAGTCTGGGTAGAGCCTGGAGCTGCAGAGTAGGATTTGGAGGTCTGAAGCACTGGGGATCAGAACCAGGTTGTTGGTGTGTTGGGCTGGCCCAGGAGTGGGAGTGGCAGTGCCGGGGTTTGAACCCCGGCCAGGTGGTCTCCACAAACGCAGCCGTGCCAGGCAGTACCAAGGGCCGGCCAGTGACCCACGGGGAGGGGGGGCACGGGAACCTGGGTTTACACTCCGTCTCATCTCCTTACTGGGCTGCTCTGCTTGGTCCGCTCTGCCAGCCTTGGTGTCTGCCTCCTGCCCACAGGCAGTGCTGCAGGTGAGACTCCTCCCGAGGGCCTCCTCCAGTTAATGGGCCGGAGGCCTTCGCAGAAGTGGGGCTTGTGGTGAGGAGCCCGCCCCGTTCACCGAGTCCCTGCGTCACGTTCCTGCCTTTCATGAGGAACAGACTTGTGGAAGGTACTAGTGTTGTGTTTGTTCCCCAGGTCCAATTCAGCATCTTCTAGAATAATGCTGTGTTGGCGTGTGGGGTTGAGGGGCAGTGCTGGGCTTTGGGCGAACCTGTGGGCCCTCCATGCTGCCCCAGGCCTGCAGGCTGGGTGGGCACGCTAATGCAGTCGGAAAAGCAGCAGCACCTGCTCAGCCGCCCCTGTGCACGCTCCTGGAAATGTGTGTGGAGCGGATACAGGGGTTATTTGGAAAGTTTCACAGCCTACAACAGTGAAAGGTTGGTTTCTGGGCAGGATGGGGGTGGTGTTTTTTACTTTCACCAGTCCTGGGCCTTGGACTCGGCTTGGGTGCTGTCCCTGAGCTGCTTTGTGCCAGGCTAGTGCTCAGCCACAGCACCGCCTGGGCTTCTCCCGCGGCCAATCAGAGATGAGAGTCTAGGGGCTGAGCTCTGACCCCACGGCTGGGCGCCCTCCTCATCTTCACCCGAGACAGCCGAGTGGCTGCAGGTGTTCATGTGGGAACAGCGGCTGTATTTGATGGGTGCTCAGGTTCATGCTAGGGTGAATAGCTTTGCTCATGCAATATTTCACTGTGAACAAAACTAGGTTTTATGCACAGAACAACTCGATTATGTCTGTAGGAACGGGAGCGTTGAATGACAGCGAAGCCTACGGTAGAACGGTGCAGAGGACAGTAAGCTCCAGGGCTGAGAGCAGCAAGCCTGAAAAGCTAGGGGATGCTTTTGGTTTGGGTTTTTTTCTTTTCTGAGTACTGCCCTTGCAGAAAGGCTGGTCTTTGATTGATGGCTTCTGGCTGTGGAGCCACGGCCAGGGGGTGTGGAGGGACAGGTGCTTCAGCCCTGCCTGAGAGTCTTGACGTCTCGTTCGGTAAAGAGCTGTTTAAGAAATCACAGGTAAATTTCCTCAAGTTGTCTAGATTTCTGGGCAGTCAGCTAGTGTAGCCATTATCATTGGATCGGGCTTTTTGTTTTCATTTTGGCTGCTAGGCAACTCCAAGCCAAATTTGCTGTGTCTTACAGTAATTGGGAAGACTAACAAGTTTTATACCTGACTGAGATTTTTCTGCTCCTTAATGTTGGTGATTCTGCTAAAGTATATGTTTGTAGAACACACCATGTTAAAAGTACTGTTTAATTTTTAGTTTTCCTTTTTGCCTGTATTGGGGCTTGAACTCAGGGATGTTATTACTTGTTTTTTTCACTGAAAGCGAGTGCACTCCCACTTGAGCCATATCTGGCTTTTTGCTTGTTAACGGGAGCTAAGAGTCTCGTGGACTTTCCTGCCTGGGCTGGCTTTGAACTGCTATCCTCAGATCTCCGCTAGGATGACAGCCAGTTTTATGGAAGACTTGTTGGTGCTTCTGGTAAAAATCACTTGTAAAGAGTTTTCCTTGAAGTAGTTTTCCTCCTGGGGGCTCCACTCGACCTGCGGACAATGGCCCCCCTGGGATTGTGGCCAGACAAGATTTGATCTGTCTGAGTTCTGAGGAGTGTGGTTGAACTTCACCATGTGTGTAAATTACCATTAGTAGTGCTGAGGTGTGAACTGGAAGTCCTGTGCACCTAACGGGTGCTCTTAGGAAAGACTTGCCTCCAGTTCTGCTTTTGCAGCTGCTTTGCTTTTGTGGAGATGGAATCTTGTGGACTTTGCTTCCTGGGCTGTCCTCCAGGTCTCAGCCTCCTGATTGGCTGTTTTTAGGAGTGTGGCCCAGCATGTCACCTCACCTGCCTGGTGCTTCTGTCCAGATAGGCAGGAGCATGGACTCAGGAGGGTTTTGTTGGCTGGTTTTTTAAATTTTTGTCAGTTGTGGGGCTTGAACTCTGGGCCTGGGCGCGGTCCCTCTTCAGCTCAAGGCGAGCACTCTACCACTTGAGCCACAGCACCACTTCTGGTTTTCTAGTGGTTTATCTGTGGTAAGCATCTCACAGACTTTCCTGCCTGGGCTGGCTTTGAACTTCTATCCTCCGATCTCAGCCTCCAGTAGCTAGGATGGCAGGCGTAGGAACCACGGGTGCCCTTGCCTCTCGCAGCAGGAGTGTTCCATTTGCTCAGGCTCTTCCTGACTCTTGAGCCAATGCAGCAACTGAGGAGTAGAGCTGCTCCCTGTCCGGACCTCACACACGTGCAGGTGCAGCTCAAGGCTTTGGCTCCCAGTGGAGACGGGCAGGAGGCCTGTGCTCTGTCCTTACTGGGTTTGCTGTCTCCACCCAGACTGGGGACAGCAGCCCCTGCAGCCTTGTCCTGGCCGCGCTCTTGGGCTGTGTTTCTTTAATGGCAGCGGGGGGGGGGGGGGGGACGGGCGCGAGGGTTGGGGGGGCTTTCCACCTTCCCATCCACAGACACCTCAGGTCACATCCCTGGGAGACCTGCAAGGCCTTGGTTGACTCCAAAGTAGATGAAAGTTGATCTGGTTATCTGTTCTGTAGAATAAAGGTTAAAAGGTTAAATACTGTTGGTATCATAACACCGAACTCTAGAGAAATGGCAAAAGTTATTTATTTTTATCTAGAAAAATACAAGTTTAAAATAAAAACAAATTGTGACAATACAGAACTTCTATAACATCTGAAATCAGACCACACAGATGGAAACGTGGCTACAAGCCTTCACTCTGGAGTTTGCTCCTTGCGTTTATAAAGTAAGGCAGGCTTTGAAATTCAATTAAAGCAGGAGGAAATTGCAGGGTCCTGATGCTTGGTTGGCCCTAGAACAAGACCAGCCAAAACCCTGCCTCCTGGGTTTCCTACCCAGGCCCAGGCAGCACGCGTTTGATGGTCGCAGTCTGGTGGCTTGGTCATGGCAGCTGACACTGGGTTTAAAGTATTTTTAGATTCATACTAGTAATAAATTAACTTTCATAAGTGATATTAATGTTCAGCTTGGACATGTGCTGCTCATTTGGGAAGAGAAGTGCCTTCCCACGCTCGTGTGGAGCCTGGGGGGGGCCGCAGGCTGCCGAGGTCCCCACGGCGGGGGTGGGGGCGTGGAGGAGGGGCTGTGGGGAGGCTCAGGAGTCCCCGGGGGCGGTGGGTGGCCGCAGGCTCCGCAGCTTCATCTCGTCCAGTCCCTTCCAGTACTTGAAGTTGTTGTCCAGGTGCTGCATGAGGTTAGGCAGGTCCACGAAGGCTGGAAGGCAAAGGCGGGTTCTGGTTCGGGCCTCCCTCCTTCAATGGGCTGGGAGAGGGGGCACCCTAGCACCGGAGCAGGGGCTGTGGCGGCACCGCCTCGCCCCATTACGCTGGCTGCCGCCGCTCTTACCATCCCAAGCGTCGAACATCTCGGTGATGAAGTAGTCGATGAAGGAGAGCTGGGACTTGGGGATACTGCAGGTGCTGCGGTCGAAGGCGGGCATGACCACCGGCAGGTTCCGCCGCTTCTCCTCATCTGTCTGCAGGGCAGGGCGGGGCAGTGAGCCCACTCCACACGGGCCGAGAATGCCCCAACCCAATGCCCCGGCCCACGCTACACACCCATCACGAGTGCTGGCATGACCAGAGCTCTTGGTCTACTCACCCTCAAACGTGAAAGGGAGGAGACACTTCCTAACTCAGAAAACCATAGGAGGGCTGGGAAGGTGGCTCAGTGGTAGAGCACTTGCCTTGCATGCATAAGGCCCTAGGTTCGATTCCTGAGCACCACGTGGTGTAAGCAGAAAAAGACGGGAGTGGTGCTGTGGCTCAAGTGGTAGAGCGCTAGCCTTGAGCTGAAGCGCTGACAGCGCCCAGGCCCAGAGTTCAGGCCCCACGACTGACCAAAAAAAGACTTGCCTCAAAAAGCAAAACCAGGGCTGGGAAGATGGCTCAGTGGTAGAGTGCTTGCCTTGCAAGCATGAGGCCCTGGGTTTGATTCCTCAGCACCACATAAACAGAAAAAGCCAGAAGTGGCACTGTGGCTCCAGTGGTAGAGCACTAGCCTTGAGCTAAAGAGTTGAGGGACAGTGCCCAGACCCAGAGTTCAGGCCCCATGACTGGCAAAAAAAAAACAAAACCATGGGATAGAAATGGCCAGTTTTTTTCTGTGTGCAGGGTGACTGAGCGTGTGGGTGTGTGCGTGCGTGCATACGTGTTTTTACTGGCCATATGAGTGCAGTATCTGTTTTAGTGGAATGTCTGCTCTAGTGGAAAGTACCTTACCCGGGCCTAACTGCCCTTTGTATGTAAAAGGCGGCTTGGTTGGGCAGTGTGCTAGTTATAGTTAGGCTGTGTTGGTTAAACATTTGCTCTGTAGCTTTTGAGAGACTCCCTATGGAGCCCAGGCTGGCTTAGAACTTGAGAGCTGCTTTTTGAGTGCTGGGATTATACACACGTACCACTGCCCGGGACTATTCTATTCTGATGACTGGAGTGTCCACCCTTCAAGGAATTGGATGTACAGGTGTGCCTCCTGTATTTCTCCCTCTGCTTCTGTTCCTGTCCTCGTGTGTTCTGGGATTCTGCCACACTGCGTCCTTTAGCTTAGAACTGCTGTGACTCAAGTGTGAGGGTTGGTCAGTGTGTGCTGACACTGGAAAACAGACCCTTGCCTGCCACCACCGTGCTGCCGCCCCGGGCCGGGGCCACAAGGACCACATGTGCACTAGAGAAACGTTAAAGCAAGGGAAGCCCTACAGTTACTCACCACCTACTCTGTGAAGACTCGTGTGCCCGAGATCACACGGCCTAGTGCTTCTTGGAATGACAGGAAGTGAATTCTACTGCTTGGGAATGTATCTGGCCGGCTCCACTTCCTCAGGGTGTGTGTGTGTACACGTGCGTGCGTGTGCACACGTGTGCACCAGTTCTGCAGCTTGAACTCAGCTTGGGGACTGTCCTGAGCTTTTGTGCTCAAAGCCAGCACTCTACTACTTGAGCCACAGCTCTACTTACAGATTTTTGTTTTGTTTCTGTTACGGGGCCTCAAACTCAGGGCCTGGACACTGAGCTTTTCTCAAGGCTGCTGGCTCTACAGCTTTGGGCTATAGTGCCACTTCCGGTTTTCTTTGAACCTTGATCCTCAGTAGTAGCTGGGATCAAAGGGGTGAGCTGCCAGCACCTAGGTAAGGGTCTCTGCATTGGCTAGAGAACTATGGGTTGGTATTTTCTTCCGATGGCTAATTGAAGTGAGATCTCGGTGTTCTGAAAACATGAGTGATTTGTTTCTCCCTCATTTTGGGTTCTGCTTCGCGGCATGCTGCAGCCCTCCACCAAGTGCTAGGGGGAGAAACTCAAGACCCAGGACTTGTCCCCTGCAGGGCTGCGGCTGCCTGGCGCACCGTGCACGCACCTGGGAGAAGTACTCTTCAGAGATGCGCGCGGCCCACTCGATGCACAGCTCCAGGGCACGGCAGGGGTTGGACACGTCTGCGCACTTGATCATCATGCGCTTGATGAGCATGCGGTTCTCCGGCATCCTGAGCATGGCGCTTACAGCTTCCTGGTCCTTACCTGTCTCCTACGCCACGGGCGGGTGGGATTCTGAGTAACCAAGGTGGGCCCTCCCCCTGGCTGCCGCTTCTCCCTGGAAGGTTCTAGCTGACAGCAGCCAGGTGGCCTGGCCGGGACCCTCGCACCACCAGCCCCCTCACCTCATTCTCCAGTGATGCCAAGGGCTTGGTGACGCTGGTGACAAATCTATTGACGTGTTCAAAGTGCTTTGTCATCTCTGTGGCAAGGACCATGTCCACGATGCCCTGGCGCAACACGCGGTACTCATTCCTGTGCAGGCCGGAGAGGCTGCTGAGGGCCAGGACAGCCTGTGGTGGGGGTGGGGGGGCCTGCTGACCTCTCCCCGAGGGGCGAAGGAGGCCTGGTGCTCACCTCTCCATGTTTTTGAAGATGTTGTGCTTGTCGCTGCCCACGGTGAGCTGGAAGGCCAGGGCGGCGTGGTGGCTCTCCAGCACAGCGATGTCATTGTACAGGATGGCCAGCTCGCTCCCAGAGTTGCACAGGAACGCGTTGGTTCTCCCGGGGTGGTCCACATCGTGGATGGTGGCTGCGATGAGCGCAGCTACCTCGTCCACGGGGTCCAGAGCCTCCTGCGGACAGCACTGTGAAGCAGCACGGCCGCAAAGCCAGTCCCCTGCCCACCCGCCCGCCCCTCCACATCGCCAGACATGTCCTCACATCTACGCTTAGGTCGATGAGTGAGAAATGACCATGTGTGCGTGCAGTGTATTTGGCTTTAAACTCCAGCCTTTGTGCTCGGGGCTGACACTACCACTTGAGCCTCCAGGCCAGCGTTCATTCTCAGCGGCTCGTCTGCCTAGGCTGCCCCAGCCAGACAGCCCCAGCCTGCGGAGAAGCGGGGGACGGGCCTGCGCCCTGGGCGCCCAGCGGGGACCCGTCTGCTCTGGCGGCCTCTCCTGGCCCCTGGCTCTGGGGCAGCTGTGGCTGGGAAGTGCGCCGGATGGAGGTCCTGGTAGAACACCCCAGCCTCCAGGGCAGCAGTGCCTCCCCCACTTGCCCTCCCTTCTCCCCAAGTGAATGTGTGGCCACTGAAGTCAGTCTCACTCGAGATCTGGGAGATGAGAAAGGGCTTCTGGGAAGTCCTGCTCCCAGGAGAAAGACCTGGGGCTGTACCCTGCAGCCCTGTGGGGCGGGGCCTGATCTCCACAGAACACCCCCCCCCCCCATTTCCTGCCCTCTCCCCACCTTCACCCTCTCCCTGGAGAGGAAGTAGGCCGTGGCCTGCAGCACGTCGGCTGCATGCGTGGAGTTGTGGTAGGGGTTGTCTGCATGGTAGTTGGCCTCGATGACCTCCAGCCAGGCCCTCAGGGTGGCCTCGGGGCAGTGCAGGAAGTCACAGATTCTGAAGCGATTGTAGGTTTTGAGAGCAAGGTAAGTCAGCGGCCTACACAAAGATGGAAGGAAGCATGGAATGGCAGTGAGCCAGGGGAGAGACCTCAAGATAATCCCCTTCCCATTAAACCACGCGGCCAGAGTCTGCACGCTCCTGAGGCTCTGTCCTGGGCAGTGTCCTGTCCTGAGAGCCGCCCGGGACCCCTCTAGCCACCTGTGACCCCCACAGTGCGGTTGCAAGGAGGTGGCTGGCCGGCCAGGCCTTCCTGAGGAGGCCTGGGTCCTACCCCTGGCCCCACTGAGGCCTCCCTCTGTGGTGACTACAGGGCTGGGCCTGGGCCTAGATGCGATGCTGGGAGCAGGCCACGCCACCAGGCTGGGGTGGGTGGGGGCTCTGGGCTCCCGGCTCCCCGTGTGCCTAGGCCCCTTGTGGAGAGCCAGTCACACCCACGTGAGAACTGGGTCGGCTCTCCACACACCCTCAAATGAGTGCTGTGGGACTCCATGTGCTCACCCCCATGTGTCTGGGCCACTCCCTCCTGGGCTTGTCACCCACAGCCCCACTGGCCACCTCCCAGGCTCACCGATTGTACGTGACGGCCTCCAGTTGGAAGATGTCGAAGTCCCAGTGCTCTTCACCTTCCACAGCCTGCGCGATCCGTGATGGGAGGTCTTGCAGGGCAGCGGTGGAAGCAGCTGCCGAGGGGCCCTGGTGAAGGACTGGGGGGGGGGGGGGGGGGGGGGGAAGAGGTTAGGCTCCAGCCAGCCTGCAGGGTGGACTTCCTGTAGCCAGGCACTGCGCAGTAAAGAGCAAGAGCGAGCCTCGGCCTCATCATACGGAAGCCAAGAGAGCTGAAAATAAGAAACTTACTTTTTGTTCCAAGAATGTAGTTATTCCCTGGTAATCTTCGCAGGCTGTCCTGACAAAATGGGGGGGGGGGATACGTCACAGCTGCCCACCTGTGCCCACCTCATGGTCACCCCAGAACCCAGACACTTGCAGGGGAGCTCGGCCTGAGGTTGGGCTGGGACAGGGACAGGGGGCAGCCCAGCCCACGCTCCTGCCTTGCCCTCAGTCCCTGACCCAGCTCCCCCTCCCTTCCCACCTCCTAAGTGACCCCTTCTTCACGGGGCCTCCACCACCCAGCCACACCCAGCTCTGTATGCAGCCATTCACTATGGATTTTTTTCCTGCCTCAGATTTGGTTTTTGGGCTGGGAAAGTGGCTCAGTGGTAGAGCGCTTGCCTTGCATGCATGAGGCCCTGGGTTCGATTCCTCAGCACCACATAAGCAAAAAGAAAAAAAGCTGGAAGTGGCGCTATGGCTCAAGTGGTAGAGCGTTAGCCTTGAGCTAAAGAGCTGAGAGACAGCACCCAGGCCCGGAGTTCAGGCCCCACGACCGGACCCCCCAAAAAAAATGTTTTTAAGACTGAGGTTTAAACTCAGGACTTTATGCTTGCTAGGAAGATGTTCTACCACCTGGTCTACGCCCCCAGCCCTTCACCTCAGGGATTTTCAACTCGTGTTCACTAGGGCTGGGCTGGACTGCAGTCCTATCCACCGTGATGCCCAGCTTCGCATTGGTTGAGAAGGGGTCTCAACCAATGGCACCTTTTCTCTGGGCTGTCTTTGAACCAGTCCTCCAGATCTCTGCGTCGGGATTGACTCTTGCTGGTGTGACTGCAACCAGCTTTTGCCCCACTTTTTTTTTTTCCCTGGTGGTCATGGGGCCCGAACTCTGGGCCTGGGTGCTGTCCCTCAGCTCTTCAGCTCAAGGCGAGCGCTCTACCACTTGAGCCACAGCGCCACTTCCAGTTTGGAATTTTTTGAGGCAGGCGGGCCTCATGCTTATGACCCCTGCACCTGCCGCACAGTGCCACGCTGCAGCCTTTCTAAGTGTGTAAATACAACCAAGCATGCTTGACTGCAAAACCACAGGAGCACTGGAGACCGGGTTCTGGTCAGGCTGTCTACAACAGCCCCTTCCCGGCCCTCCCCGCCGGGCTGGGCGGAGCTTACAGACAGCAGGCCCCCGACCAGGTCCGCGGCGTGCGGGTCGTCGTCCTTGGCGTGGAACTGCGGCGAGTACAGCTCGGTGGTTCTGAGGATCTCCAGCACGCGGTCCAGGGCCTCCGTCACGGGCACGGGGCTTCTCTCCTGGGCTGCGTTGATGAGGTTGATGACCTGTGTGGGGAGGGGAGCATGGGGGTCCCTGTGGGGCCGCCCCGCTGTCCGCCCCGCGCTGCCCGGGGCAGCGACGGTGGGCCAGGGCCGCCCGCGTCACCTTGGTGATGGGCGCCTCTATGGTCATGGAGTGGATCCGGGCCAGGGAGGAGTGTCGCCGCTGGCTGGACGCTGAGGGCAAGGCTGGAGGTCAGGGGTCGGCCGCCCCCCCTCCCTGGGGTGGGTGCCGAGGGGCGGCGCGCCTCCACTCACCTTCGTTGGTCCGGGAGCCGACACACCTGATGTCCAGAGAGCTTTTCCTCCTAGAGACGCTCGTGTGACTCTCTGGGGACACGGCCACGCGTCATCCCCAGGCAGCGACCCCGCACAGGCCAAGCGCGCCGCGCCCAGCCAGTTACGGCACTAGCCAGGGCACGCGCCCAGCACCGGGGCAGAGGCCGCCTGTCCCGAGGGCAGCTCGGAGGGGAGCAAGGGGGGGTCCTCTGGAAGGGGGTGCGGGGCTGGGGGCGCGCAGGGACGCTTCCAGCAGCGTGGATCCCCCGGGCGGCGCCCCGCTTCTCCCCGCCCACAGCAGCGCCACACCGGCCTTCCGCCCGGCCTCCCCGCCACGGCCTTTCAGCCTCTGCCAACCGCAGCCCTCCCCAGCCCTTCCTGCGCCCCCGCGCCCGGGAGCGGGAGCAGCCTGGCCCCGCCCCCCAGGCCCGCCCCCCGGAGCAGGAGCAGCAGCCTGGCCCCGCCCCCGGAGCAGGAGCAGCAGCCTGGCCCCGCCCCCCAGGCCCGCCCCCCGGAGCAGGAGCAGCAGCCTGGCCCCGCCCCCCAGGCCCGCCCCCCGGAGCAGGAGCAGCAGCCTGGCCCCGCCCCCCAGGCCCGCCCCCCGGAGCAGGAGCAGCAGCCTGGCCCTGCCCCCCAGGCCCGAGCCCCGGAGCAGGTAGCAGCAGCCTGGCCCCGCCCCCGGAGCAGGAGCAGCAGCCTGGCCCCGCCCCCCAGGCCCGCCCCCCGGAGCAGGAGCAGCCTGGCCCCGCCCCCCAGGCCCGCCCCCCGGAGCAGGAGCAGCAGCCTGGCCCCGCCCCCCAGGCCCGCCCCCCGGAGCAGGAGCAGCCTGGCCCCGCCCCCCAGGCCCGCCCCCCGGAGCAGGAGCAGCAGCCTGGCCCCGCCCCCCAGGCCCGCCCCCCGGAGCAGGAGCAGCCTGGCCCCGCCCCCCAGGCCCGAGCCCCGGAGCAGGAGCAGCAGCCTGGCCCTGCCCCCCAGGCCCGCCCCCCGGAGCAGGTAGCAGCAGCCTGGCCCCGCCCCCGGAGCAGGAGCAGCAGCCTGGCCCCGCCCCCCAGGCCCGCCCCCCGGAGCAGGAGCAGCAGCCTGGCCCTGCCCCCCAGGCCCGAGCCCCGGAGCAGGTAGCAGCAGCCTGGCCCCGCCCCCGGAGCAGGAGCAGCAGCCTGGCCCCGCCCCCCAGGCCCGCCCCCCGGAGCAGGAGCAGCCTGGCCCCGCCCCCCAGGCCCGCCCCCCGGAGCAGGAGCAGCAGCCTGGCCCCGCCCCCCAGGCCCGCCCCCCGGAGCAGGAGCAGCCTGGCCCCGCCCCCCAGGCCCGAGCCCCGGAGCAGGAGCAGCAGCCTGGCCCTGCCCCCCAGGCCCGCCCCCCGGAGCAGGTAGCAGCAGCCTGGCCCCGCCCCCGGAGCAGGAGCAGCAGCCTGGCCCTGCCCCCCAGGCCCGAGCCCCGGAGCAGGTAGCAGCAGCCTGGCCCCGCCCCCGGAGCAGGAGCAGCAGCCTGGCTCCGCCCCCCAGGCCCGCCCCCCGGAGCAGGAGCAGCCTGGCCCCGCCCCCCAGGCCCGCCCCCCGGAGCAGGAGCAGCAGCCTGGCCCCGCCCCCCAGGCCCGCCCCCCGGAGCAGGAGCAGCCTGGCCCCGCCCCCCAGGCCCGCCCCCCGGAGCAGGAGCAGCAGCCTGGCCCCGCCCCCCAGGCCCGCCCCCCGGAGCAGGAGCAGCAGCCTGGCCCCGCCCCCCAGGCCCGAGCCCCGGAGCAGGAGCAGCAGCCTGGCCCTGCCCCCCAGGCCCGAGCCCCGGAGCAGGTAGCAGCAGCCTGGCCCCGCCCCCGGAGCAGGAGCAGCAGCCTGGCCCCGCCCCCAGGCCCGCCCCCCGGAGCAGGAGCAGCAGCCTGGCCCCGCCCCCAGGCCCGCCCCCCGGAGCAGGAGCAGCAGCCTGGCCCTGGCTCCCGCCCCGCAGTGCCACCTCCCAACGCCACCCCCCAGGGTGTTCCCGGGGCGCCCCCTGCCCCCTCCCTCTCTCGTCTTCTCACTGCTGGAATGCTTTTCCTCCCCTCACTCAAACACGCCTCTCCCCCCTCCCCACGCGGTCAGCCACTTCTTTTCAAACTACACCAGAGCTGCTCCAGGGTGCTGTGAGTCAATCCAGCCCCACACTCTATACATGAATATTCCTAAGCAGGTGACACCTGTCAGCTCCTCCTCTGTGAAAGGAGGACATGGGCACCACTGGTAGACCCCCCGTGGTCTGGGGTCACTCTAAAGGCCCAGCGACACACTGCGGAAAGCACTTAGCACAGCACCTTAAAACAGCAAAGTTCTCAAACACACAGTACCCACTGTCTGAATGAACAGCTGAGTGGCTCTGAGTGGCTTGAGGGGACAGATGGGCCTTGCCACTTACCAGTGTAACACAGGGAGGGGGAGCCCTCCCCAGCACCCCACCCCTCCCCTCCCCAGCGCCCATCCCCACAGCCGTCCCTCTTTGGTGGGGGCAGAGTGTGGGTCAGCAGGCGCAGGGATGAGGTGGAGGTCGGGGCAGGACCACACCGGGCCACGGCCTCGGACACAGCACAGGCCCGTCCTCACACCGCAGGGATGGCTGCGTCCTAACTCTGGGCTTAGAATGTGTCCTGGGCATCGGTCAGGCAGCCCTGGGTGGCCATGGCTCGGGAAGCCAGCCTCACCGCGGCCCGGGGATGCTCGATGGGCGTGGAGATGGCCCCTACCTGTCTGGCTCTGAGACGCCACGCACTCCTGCATCTCCTCCGTCTAGAAGCGGGCGTCATAGGCTGTTAGGTCCAGGGCCTGGAAGGCCTGCCCGGCGTCCCTCCCGCCCTACCTACCTTGCTGCCGTTGCGCACCCGGATGATGGACACATAGTGTCTGATTTTTCTGTAGGAAACAGTGTGCTGTTTGCCTCCTGACTTACCCGGTGGGTCCCTAAGCTTTCATTTTTGGCCAAGCCCACCAAGTTACACATGCCCTGTGTCCCTGCAGAGAAGTGAACTCGGTCCCAAGTTCTTCCCCGGTTGGTTCTCACACCAGGAGACTGAAATACATGTGTGCTCATTCACAGCCAGACCCTTCCTTGCTGCCGGCCCGGCCCTCATCCTCTGCAGTGCTCCCCAGCTCTCCTCTGAGCCCCAGCCAGCCGCCCCACCCCGCCCTGCCACCCGGCCTGCACACTGCTCTCACATAAAGAGCCTGCACTGACCAGCGCCCAGGAGCTGCCAGCTGGCAGGGAGGCCTGGTGACGCAGCCCATGAGCAGAGCCGTCGGCACCGGCGCCGCCATGCGCAGCGGCCAGGGCCACAGGCTGGTCCGCCACCGCATCTGTGTACACGGTCCCATTCCCCCCCCCCCCCCATTAGCATCGTTTGCCCACAGCGGCGTGTTTCGCCTGTTGAAGTTTGAGTCATATTCGTTAATTTTCTGCTTTTAATTCAGGAGATTCTGAACAACCCATCTGAAAGTTTAAGGCACCTAATACACACATACTGCCAATCAACAATCACCTTCATTTCACCTAAGAAGTTTTTTTTTTGGGTCCAGTCGTGGGGCCTGAACTCTGGGCCTGGGCGCTGTCCCTCAGATCCTGAGCTCAAGGCTGGCGCTCCACCACTTGAGCCACAGCGCCACTTCTGGCTTTTTTCTTTTTGCTTATGTGGTGCTGAGGAATCGAACCCAGGGCCTCAGGCATGCAAGGCAAGCGCTCTACCACTGAGCCACCTTCCCAGCCCTCACCTAAGAATTTCTATAACTTGGTATTCACAAAATTTTTCTTTACAGTGATTGATAGGCCTTTATAGAAAAAGTCATCCAATGCGATTTTTAAAATTGTGAACATAGAGTCTACTCGCCAGCATTGTTGGCAAACAACACTGATGTCCCGACTTTAAGTAAATATAAATTCAGTCTCTCGTGCATCCTGCAGCTTAAAAGCAATTGTGCCGGTCTGGTGGCTGTGGGGAAGAGGTCCCCAGGATGCATTATCCCAGAAGGCATTCTGCAAGACATCTGCCCCCCTCAGCAAATCCGCCCACCCTGCAGTCCCCACTTACCCCCCCTGCCCCACCACAGGGATGATCTTCACGTTCTGCTGTACGTTGTCTCCGTTTTTCTTCTTGGTGTAGTACACTCCTTGCCACTCCTGTCAGTGTGATGTGAGCAAGCATCATTAGGCTTTGCGGCCCCCATCATTCTCCACTTTGAACACAGTCGGGGCCCAAAGGTAAGCCCAATCTCAAACCCAGCCTCCAAAGTGCACTGCCTCCACAGCAGTCCTCCTCGCGCCTGCCTCTGCCTCTGCCCTGGGCAGGAGGAGTCTCAGGAGTGGACCACGGAAGGGCCCCTCCGTGGCAGGCTGCAGCTTAAGATGAAGGGCCGGTGCACATGGTGGGCTGCGGCCCCTTAGGAATATTGATGAACTCAGAACCAGCAGGCATGGCGGGCACGCAATGCAGGCCAGGGAGACCTAGCAGGCACAGTAGGCACGTGCTCTACATCCAGAGAGAACCAGCAGGCACCGTGGCACACGCCCCAGGCCGGGGAGAATCCATGGGCACAGCCAGGGAGATTGGCACGGCCTCAGGTCTGTCATCAGGTGCACGGTGCCTGCAGGACTTAGTCCGGGCCTCACCAGGGAGGCCTTGTGGGACACAACTGTGCTGGGACCTCAAGTGTTCTGTACTCCCCCCTAGGCCCCGAGCTGGGGACTCTGACGGGCACCTGTGACTGAACTCGTGGGACGTCCTCGCGGGACTGGCGAGGCCTCAGCTGCAAACACTCTCCCAGAGCAGTTCTCAAAGCTACACTTGGGTTGTGGCCACCACCAAAGCTAAGGCTCTGGGCACGGCCAGGAAGTGCAGCCAGGAGTCAGGCACTGCCTCAGAAGTGAAGCAGGGCACACTGCAAACTGTGAGCACCAAAAGACCCTACCTCCCTGCTCTCCCCACTCTCTAGCCAAGACAGGCATGGGTCTTACAGCCCACACCAGAGAGGCCTGCGCCCCAAACCAGCCAGGCTGACCAGGGGCCAGGCAGGAGGAGCAGGCTCTCCGCGCCCTGCACACAGGTGCCACAGAAGCAGACAGGCAAAGGCTACTTTGGGATTCACATAGAAATTGTGATTTTCAGCTGGGCGTCAGTGGCTCACGCCTGTCATCCTAGCTACTCAGGAAGCTGAGATCTGAGAATCTCGGTTCAAAGCCAGCCCAGGCAGGAAAGTCAGTGAGACTCTTATCTCCAATAAACCACTAGAAAAGTGGAAGTGGCGCTGTAGCTCAAGCGGTAGAGCGCTCACCTTAAACTGAAAAGCCCAGGGAGAGCGCCCAGGCCCAGAGTTCAAGCCCCACGACTGACAAAAAAAAAAAAAAAAAAGAAATTGTGATTTTCACACAACCGTGTGAATATGCCAAAAACCACTGATTGTGCACTTGAAATGGGGGAGTTATATGGCATGAGGATTATACATGACTATTACATATATATGTGTATGTATATACATATAATTAGAACTGTTGTGTTGAAAAAAATAGAGGGAAGGGAAGGGAGAGAAGGGGGAGAGAGGAGAGACAGGAAGAGGAAGATTAGTTCAATCAAGCAGTCAGCACTGTGAACAAGCTCTTTAGGATTTCTTCCCAGTCCACCAAAGGATTTAGCCAGTCATGGGCTCTGACTTGTTTTGTCACCCACGGAAGCAAAAAATATTTCCTCAGCATACACTGCTGAGGAAATATCCTAACTATGCACCTATGTTTACTGACCTGAAGTGTGTGGAAGGTTGAGTTCCTGGGCCTGTGCTGGAGCCTGGGGAACTGAAGCTGGGGAGCGGATGCGCGGTGGATGTGCGCACAGCCCTTGGCAGGACTGCGGGCCTTTAGGCGCTGGTCCTCCCAGCACTTCCGTTAGTACCAGTGAGGAAGGGTGCAGGCCCACTTACCTTGCCTATTCTGATGCAGGAATTGATCGTGTCCAGCAAGTCTGCCTTTTTCTCGTTCATAGGCACTTCGCCCAGCTCCTTCCCGATTAGTTCACCTGACTGGTAGCCCATTGTTCTCTCAAAGGCAGGATTTACGTACTGGGAAGAGAAAAGAGAAGGCATCAAGGGGAATTGAAGGCACCAGGAAATGAGAAGATCCCAGGGTCTCTACCTGAGCCCCCAGTTTTCTTCCCAGGAAGGTGGGAAATGTGAAGCCTGAGCAGGCAGAAGTGCAGTTCAGACGGTCATGCATGGTAGGACGGGCCCTGGGAGGAGTCCACGCATGGTGAAAGAGGGCAAGCTGGCACAAACGCAGTTCATCTAACCCTAAAGAGTCGGATTGGGTGTGTGTCCATTCCACAGGAGGGGCCAAGTGGCCCATCTTTATTCTGTCCCTTGTCCCTGCAGAGAGACACTGGAAACATGATGGTTAAAATGAGTGATGTGAAGATCTGATTAGCATTGCTAAAACTGCCCCTTGGATGTGCTAAAATTAAAATTAAGAAGGTCTTAAAAAGAGAGTTAAAAAAGTTAATTTGTATAATGTGACTTGCTTTCAATGATGTTCTCCAAGTAGGATATGTTTTTAAAAGTCATAAAGGTGTTAAGTCTAGCTCCCTGGTACAGTGATGGTGATTGCAATTCTTGCATTAAGGAAAAATTGTCATTTGAGTTTAAAAGTTTTTCATGTGTTTCTGTTTTAAAACAAACAGCCAAGAGGCAATGAGTGACACTTGGCCTCAGGATTTCAAAGGATCTTTTCAAAATGAAAATTAAAGTATAAAATATTAAAAGAGATTAAGAGGCTTAAAAAATTAGGAATGGATTTTTTGATATAACATTTAAAAGTAAAATTGTTCTTAACGTTTGCCTCAAAGTACACAAAGGAAAATTAGGATTACCAAAATAATTGCTACTCCAGTTTGCTCTTATAGGTTTGTTTTTTTTTTTTTTAACAGTTTCCAGCAAGCCCAGAGCAAAGCACAGAGGATTCTTACAAGTTTGTCAGATGTAACCCTGGCTCTTAATAAGTTCTAGGTAAGAGCATGCTTAAAAACTACTTCTATGTTGACCACCTTGTTGCTTTTATTTTTTTGTCAGTTGTGGGTCTTGAACTCTGGGCCTTGGTGCTGTCCCTCAGCTCTTCAGCTCAAGGCTAGTGTTCTACCACTTGAGCTACAGTGCCACTTCCAGTTTTCTGGTGGTTCATTGGAGATAAGTTTCATGGACTTTCCTGCCCGAGCTGGTTTTGAACCAGGATCCTCAGATCTCAGCCTCCTGAGTAGCTAGGACTACAGGCGTGAGCCACTGGCGCCCGACACCTTGTTGCTTTTAATTGGAGTAAAGTGGCCTTTTATAAGACTCATTGATCTGCAAATTGGCTCGAAGCCAGCCCAGGCAGAAAAAGGTCCCTGTGAGACTGTCACCTGTAATCAGCCAGCAGAGCCCTGAAAGAGCAAGCAGAGTTGCTTTGGGACTCAAAGTGACAGAGTGCCAGCCTTGAGCTGGAGAGCTGAGGAGGGACAGCACTCAGGCCCCAAGTTCAAGACCAGCAACGAGCTAAGAGAAATGGCCATGAGGCATTTATCCCAGGTGGAGAAGACATTCCTGGGACGAAAGCAATGGAGGAGCATCCAGAGACTGTAAGCCTCTGCTTGGATGGCAGAAATAATGTCAGATCCTAGAGTCATTGGTGCGTGGCCCTTCAAAAATTGGTGAGAGCCAGGAGGTCATGGGAAGATAGTTTGTAAGCGTGCCTAATGTCCATGACTATCTACCTTGTAAGGGACAGGAACTTGCCAGTCCTCTGTGATAGCAGTAAAAAGCTAGAGTTACAAAATGTGGGGGACAGTTTAAATCCCAACCCCTGCATGTGCCAAAAGCCCTAATTGGCAGTAACTGAGCTGATACCAGCTACAAGAAATTCATCTGTTCAGAAAAAAAGTTTATAAACCTGAGAGTGTGTCCCTATTGACATCTGTCTGAAGGCATTGTTAGGGTCACAAGAGATCACATTCCTAAAGCCGTCCAGAAAGATGCTTTTGCAAGCCAGAGTGCTAAACAAGCTATGCCGCTGTAGCTGGAGAAAAGTTCTGTGCATTTGTCAAAAGTTAAACTAGGCCTAGGTTACAGGTTCTGGCCTAGGTAGGAGCAACACCCCTGAAATTAGCTTGAAGAAGTTACAGAAGCTGGACCTTCACTCGCTCATCAACCCCCTTTTAAAGATCAAGAGTCCAGAGTCAGTTTTGGAAAAATGAGGCAAAATAGAATAGTGTTAACAGATGTCCAAGCGTGGTCTGCACCTGTCGAGATGGTTACAAGACCACGCCTGCTGTGTCTGTTTAAAGAGTTGTTGTCTTGGTAAACTGTCCTGGGCCATTGTCTGAACAGCCTTAAAAGCCAGTGGGGCCACAGCCTGCCAAGTCTATGCAATGTGTGCTTAACCAGTCTGTGTAGGAACCGTGTGACAGTCCGTTGGAGCCACTGAGAGACTGCTGCTGCCGTTGCTGCTGCTGTATACCCTAATGGGTAAAGTTCAGCGACAGCGTGAGGACAGTCGCCTGGAGGAGCTTATGAGCACAGCTGGCATAAGATCCAGTTAGCTGGGATAGAGTCAGGACTGGTAGAAGAACACACGAGCGTCTTGGAAGAACTGCACCAGGGGCTTCGCAAACGTCCCACTTCCAACCTGGACACTGGATGGCCCAAGAGATAATGCCTCTGGCGGGACCCCTGATGTTAATTCTGATACTCACAACTGGTCCTTGCGTGATTAACAGGCTAGTAACCTTTGTAAAAGAGTGGGTTAATTCGGTCCGGGTACCGGTTCTCAGATCTCAGTATCAACCCATAGATGACGTTAACAAAGAACTAGCTATGAAGGGACCATGACTGGCCCCTTAGTCACTAGCTAGGAGGAGAATGTGAAGCCTGAACGAAATATAGCAATTTTAGGTTTGGATTCCATTTTGTCCGGGAACTGTGTCAGCAACTCCCCTTGAGCCCAAATTCCAGGAAATCAGCAACTCCCCTTGATACTCCAGGAAATCAGCAACTTCCCTTGATCCCCTTGAGCCCAAATTCCAGGAGCAATCTCCTTTATGGAAAATTCTGCTAACCATAGCTAATCAGCAGATAACAGGAGAAGGATCACTGGTCAGGGGTCAGACCATCTGCTCCAGCCAATCATTTCAGAGAGCATCAACCCCATGAACCAGCCAATCCCTAGTACCTGGTTGGCTCCCGCCACTGGTGACACTAATCATCTTTTAAAATTATTTTATGAAGGCTGGGAAGATGGCTTAGTGGTAGAGCGCTTGCCTTGCATGCCTGAGGCCCGGGGTTCAATTCCTCAGCACCACATAAGCAAAAAGAAAAAAGCTGGAAGTGGCGCTGTGGCTCAAGTGGTAGAGCGTTAGCCTTGAGCTGAAGAGCTGAGGGACAGCACCCAGGCCCAGAGTTCAAGCCCCATGACCAGCCCCCCCCCAAAAAAAAAATTATTTTATGAGGTGGCTGGGAAGTTGGCTCAGTGGTAGAGTGTTTGCCTTGTATGCATGAGGCCCTGGGTTCAATTCCTCAGCACCACATAAGCAAAAAAAAAAAAAGCCAGAAGTGGCGCTGTGGCTCAAGTGGTAGAGCGCTCATCTTGAGCTCAAGAGCTGAGGGACAGCGCCCAGGCCCAGAGATCAGCCCCCATGACTGACAAAAAAAAGAATTATTTTATGATTTTCCCACGGTGTGATTATGATTTGTTAAGTGTTGCAATGATGCATGGAAGTCCCTAAAAACCCTATAAAAACCTTGCTCGAGGAAGGGCAGGGCTCTCAACTCTGACCCGCTGCGTTGGTGATGGTGGTGATTGCAGGCTCAAGCTTGTAATAAACGACTCTCATGTGCTTACATCGGAATCGGCTCCTTGGCGGTCTTTGGGGATCCTTATCTGGGCACAAGAGAAGCCCAAGAGCGTCTGCTCCATGGCCCCGGTTGGGTTTTCAAGCTGTGCTAATAACAGCTGACGCAGGCTCTCGTTTTTCACATTTTTAGTTGCGGCCTGCAGAGCCCCCGCTCTCCCTGCGCCGCGCGGCATCTTCCGCCCAGCCGTCTCTCTGTGCTATGCACACACGCGCGCGCACACACAGATATACACAAGACACACCCATGTTATTTCCATATTTTCTAAAACTATAATTACTGGTATATTCTCTTTTCTAGAAAGCTCCTTGGAAGTTTACGTTTTATTGATTTTAGTCTTATAATCCTCTAAGGAAAGAAAGGAAATAAATACTGTATTGGTTCAATCCTGAGAGTGGAAGGACATGAAACAAGCAACTTGGAAGGACACCTTTCCAAACAACAAACCTGGATGATGTGGTTTTCACTGGTAATTTCAATTGCTTCTTGACTTTTCTCTAATGCAGTGAACACTGAATTGCAGGCCCTTCATGGGTAGAAACAGAAGACCTGATTAATGTAAATACACACGTCTACTATGAACTCGGCGCTTAGTTCAGTGTACTTCTGTCTGACCCGGCAGGGCAAGGTGTGCCCGTTCAAAAGGAGGCTGGGGAATAGTAGCACAGCGAGGCTGCCCCGCCCGGTGCGCGGGCCCTCCCTGAGCACGCGCGCTCTGTGAGTCTCTTTCAGCCGGGGCACAGGGAAAGGGGGCAGGTCATCTGTAGCTATTAGCTTAAACTGCTTCCAAAACTTGGGGGTCCTCTGGAATGCCAGCTTTGTCCTCGGCTTTCTTCAGAAATGCTCAGAACATGAGAAAGCATTTGCCATGTTTTAGTGTTTGAAGATGGTCTTTAATTGTGTACCCAATAGATGTTTATTGGCAAAAATTAGAAAATACAGGGGAGGGAAAGGATAGTAGGGCAAAAACAGAGGAGAGGGTAACAATGCTTGATAGGAAATGTACTCATTGCCTTACTCCTGTAACTGTAACCCCTCTGTATTTTTTTTTTTTTGTGGTCAGTTGTGGGTCTTGAACTCGGGGCCTGGGCGCTGTCCTTCAGCTCTTCAGCTCAAGGCAAGCGCTCTACCACTTGAGCCACAGCACCACTTCCAGTTTTCTAGTGGTTTATTGGAGAGTCTCACAGACTTTCCTGCCTGGGCTGGCTTTGAACCGTGATCCTCAGATCTCAGCCTTCTGAGTAGCTAGGATGACAGGCGTGAGCCACTGGCACCTGGCACCCCTCTGTATCTTTACAATAAAAAAAAAATGTTTAACAGGGCTGGGAAGGTGGCTCAGTGGTAGAGCGCTTGCCTTGCATGCCTGAGGCCCTGGGTTCGATTCCTCAGCACCACATAAGCAAAAAGAAAAAAGCCGGAAGTGGTGCTGTGGCTCAAGTGGTAGAGTGCTAGCCTTGAACTGAAGAGCTGAGGGACAGCGCCCAGGCCCAGAGTTCAGGCCCCACGACCGGACCCCCAAAAAAAAAAATGTTTAACAATATTAGGAAATACAGCTGTGCGAAGTAGCCTGGGCGCGGTGTGGTGGCGGCCTGTTACAGCCTCGCCAGAGTCCAGAGTGGACTTTGCACAGCTCCCCCACAGCACCAGCTCTGTGCCAGCCTGCGGTGCCTATGTCTGTGAAGGACTTTTCTTCCTTGCATATAGAGCCACACTGCTCACTCCAAATCCAACGCACCGCACCAAGCAGACACAAACACAGCGGCACGCTCGTCTCTCCCATGCTTGGTACAGGAAATGTTACGCAGGACATTCAAGGAGGGAGGGTAGGCTTTATTTTCCTTTTGTCCTGCTGATATAGTTTTACGGTTTTCTGTTTCACTGGAAAAATAACCAACTTTAGCCGGGCGCCAGTGGCTCACGCCTGCCATCCTAGCTACTCAGGAGGCTGAGATCGGAGGATCATGGTTCCAAGCCAGCCCGGGCAGGAAAGTCCATGAGACTCTTATCTCCAATAAACCACCAGAAAACCAGAAGTGGTGCTATGGCTCAAGTGGTAGAGTGCTCACCTTGAGCTGGAGCACTTGGGACAGTGCCCAGGCCCAGAGTTCAAGCCCCATGACTGACAAAAAGGAAGGAAGGCAGGAAGGAAGAAAGGAAGGAAGGAAGGAAGGAAGGAAGGAAGGAAGGAAGGAAGGAAGGAAGGAAGGAAGGAAGGAAGGAAGGAAGGAAGGAAGGAAGGAAGGAAAGAAGGAAGGAAGGAAAGAGAGAAAGAAAATTATCAACTTTTACTCATTTAAAACAAATCTCTTTATCAATAGAAAATTAAAAGCTAAACAAATCTGGATGCTCACACCTGTAATCCTAGCTATTAAGGAGGCTGAGATCTGAGGATCACAGTTCAAAGCTAGCCCAGGCAGGAAGGTCAGTGAGACTCTCATCTCTAGTAAACAATAAACCACCGGAAAACCAGAGGTGGCGCCATGCTGTAGCTCAAGTGGTAGAGCGCTCACCTTGAGCTGAACTGCTGAAGGATAGTGCCCAGGCCCAGAGTTCAAGCCCCATGACCGACAAAAACAAAAACTCCTAAACATGGTTGTTCAGCCCTGCGATCCCAGCTACTTTTGAGAAACACACATGGGCAGGAAGGAGGGCTCAGTGGTCTTGTAATGCTGCAAAAAGGAAAGGGCAAATTACAGCATTTATCTCCTAGAGAACAACTCACCGTCAGTACGGTGAGTTGATGTTATTTTTTAAAAATGTTTCCAGCAAGCGCAGCTTTGTGCCCCTCCCGTGATCGAGACAGGCAGACTGGGAGGAGATCTGCCCACCCGCCCCTTGTCAAGGGGCGGCCCCAGTTACCTGAGCTTCAGCTGGGACCGCACCTCCCCGAACTCCAGCTGGCGCAGCTCATTGTAGCAGGCCATGACGGTGGGGTTTTCTATGTACCTCTAAAAACAGAAAGGGGGATTGTTAGAAAAACAAAGGAGCATCTTTGAGTAAGTATGTGTGCAATGAAAGGGATTCGAAACACACTCAATGTGTCCACTGAACACTTAAAACCCCTTTGTCGGGCTGGGAAGGTGGCTCAGTGGTAGTGCTTGTGCCTTGCATGCTTGAGGCCCTGGGTTCCATTCCTCAGCACCATATATGAAGAAAAAGTGGGAAGTGCGCTGTGGCTCAAATGGTAGAGCGCTAGCCTTGAGCTGAAGAGCTAAGGGACAGCGCCCAGGCCAGAGTTCAGGCCCCACGACCGACAACAACAACAAAATCCTTTGCAATCATTATTGCTGGACAGGAGATGCAGCTCCGGCAGCACCTAGTGGTGGGACACAGGCTCCGCTCCAAGCCGTGGGCAGAGCAGCAGGTATGGCAGGGCCAGAGGGGGGAAGGGAGACAGCGTGGCCTGTGCCTGTTTCTTTGCTTTCTCTGTGGCTGTGGGGCTCTGGGGAGCAGAGCTGGGGTGGGCAGAGCACACTCCTTCCTCTGCCCCTGCAGCTCCAAGGCCTCCAGCTCGCTCAGCAGTGCCAGCCACGGAAGACACAGCTCACTCAAGGGATACTTTTTCCTTTTGCCAGTCCTAGGGCTTGAACTCAGGACCTGGAGGCTGACCCTAAGCTTCTTTTGCTCAAGGCTAGCACTCTACCACTTGAGCCACAGCACCACTTCCAGTTTTGTCTGTGAATACAGTACTGAGGACTGGAACTCAGGCTTCATGCATGCTAGGCAAGCACGCTACCATATTCTATCTAAGCCACATTCCCAGCCCCATCTTTTTTCTTTTCTTTTTTGTGCTAGTCCTGGAGCTTGCGCACCAGGCCTGGGCGCTGTCCCTCAGCTCCTTTTGCTCAAAGCTCGCACTCCACCACTTGAGCCACAGTGCCACTTCCAGCTTTTCCCGTGATTCACTGGAGATGAAATCTTACGGACTTTCCTGCCGAGGCTGCCTCCACTGTGATCCTCAGGCCTCACTGGCGCCTGCTCAGATCCGCCTTCCACGAAGCTGCGCACAAGTGTTGTCACTTTCCCCCCTCTGGCCCTGCCATACCTGCTGCTCTGCCCACGGCTTGGAGCGGAGCCTGTGTCCCACCACTAGGTGCTGCTGGAGCTGCATCTCCTGTCCAGCAATAATGATTGCAAAGGATTTTGTTGTTGGTGGTGGTGGGGCCTGAACTCTGGCCTGGGCGCTGTCCCTCAGCTCTTCAGCTCAAGGCCAGCGCTCTACCACTTGAGCCACAGCGCCACTTTCTACTTTTTCTTCATATGTGGTACCATGGACTCGTGCTCCTCCCTCCCTCTGGCTGGTGCTCTGCTCGTGGACCACCGCACCACCGCAGACTGACCATGTGCTCATCTCTAAAGGGCCCGACGGAGAGGACCAGCCTCCCCAGGCCAGACACCACGGGACCAGCTAAGCTCTCCCGCAGTCCCTAGCCTCGGTATGGTGCGAAACGGGGCAAGCAGGGTGTGAGATGCTTGGCAGACCAAGGGAGGCCGCAGGCTGAGGGAGGCTGAGGAGGGAGGGCGGCAGTGGACGGAGGGAGGCCGTGGACGGAGGGAGGCCGTGGACGGAGGGAGGCAGTGGACGGAGGGAGGCCGTGGACGGAGGGAGGCAGTGGACGGAGGGAGGCAGTGGACGGAGGGAGGCCGTGGACGGAGGGAGGCAGCAGCAGGAGGGAGGCTGTGGACGGAGGGAGGCCAAGGATGGAGGGAGGCTGTGGACGGAGGGAGGCAGCAGCAGGAGGGAGGCTGTGGACGGAGGGAGGCCAAGGATGGAGGGAGGCTGTGGACGGAGGGAGGACCTCCAGACCCCTAGGTTGAAGGCAGCAGTGCCAAGGCCCCCATGGGACCTTGGAGTGGGGCGTGTTCTTATAATACGTGTGCCTCGGCAGGCCCTCAGGGAAGGAGGGTGCTGGGGTGCTCTCCCCTCCCCACTGCCACCTCCCTGTCTGAGCGCTCTAACCCAGCCTCACCTCTGTGATCTACTGTGTGTGACTGCCACACAGGCCGAAGATGAAGGTGTCTTCCTGGAGAGGATCTGAGGTACCCATGGCCCTGCATGCACACTGCCTTACACCCAAGCCACAGCATCCACGGGCCCCGCGTGCACACCTTATACCCTAGCCATGGCATCCATGGCCCCGTGTGCACGCTGCCTTATACCCCAGCCACGGCGTCCACGGCCCCGCATGCACACCTTACACCCCAGCCACGGCGTCCACGGTCCTGCATGCACACCTTACACCCCAGCCACGATGTCCACGGCCCTGTGTGCACACCTTACACCCCAGCCACGGCGTCCACGGTCCTGCATGCACACCTTACACCCCAGCCACGATGTCCACGGCCCTGTGTGCACACCTTACACCCCAGCCACGGCGTCCACGGCCCCGCATGCACACCTTACACCCCAGCCACGATGTCCACGGCCCTGTGTGCACACCTTACACCCCAGCCACGGCGTCCACGGCCCCGCATGCACACCTTACACCCCAGCCACGATGTCCACGGCCCTGTGTGCACACCTTACACCCCAGCCACGGCGTCCACGGCCCCGCGTGCACGCCTTACACCCCAGCCACGGCGTCCACGGCCCTGTGTGCACACCTTACACCCCAGCCACGGCGTCCACGGCCCTGTGTGCATGCCTTACACCCCAGCCACGGCATCCACGGCCCCACATGCACACCTTACACCCCAGCCACAGCGTCCACAGCCCCGCATGCACGCCTTACACCCCAGCCACGGCATCCACGGCCCTGTGTGCATGCCTTACACCCCAGCCACGGCGTCCACGGCCCCGCATGCACGCCTTACACCCCAGCCACGGTGTCCACGGCCCCGTGTACACGCCTTACACCCCAGCCACGGTGTCCACGGCCCCGTATGCACACCTTACACCCCAGCCACGGCGTCCACGGCCCTGTGTGCACACCTTACACCCCAGCCACGGCGTCCACGGCCCTGTGTGCACACCTTACACCCCAGCCACAGCGTCCACGGCCCCGTGTGCACGCCTTACACCCCAGCCACGGCGTCCACGGCCCTGTGTGCATACCTTACACCCCAGCCACAGCGTCCGGCCCCGTGTGCACACCTTACACCCCAGCCACGGTGTCCATGGGCCCGCGTGCATACCTTACACCCCAGCCACGGCGTCCACGGCCCCGTGTGCACGCCTTACACCCCAGCCACGGCGTCCACGGCCCTGTGTGCATACCTTACACCCCAGCCACAGCGTCTGGCCCCGTGTGCACACCTTACACCCCAGCCACGGTGTCCATGGGCCCGCGTGCATACCTTACACCCCAGCCACGGTGTCCACGGCCCCGTGTGCACGCCTTACACCCCAGCCACAGTGTCCATGGGCCCTGTGTGCATGCCTTACACCCCAGCCACAGCGTCCACGGCCCTATGTGCATGCCTTACACCCCAGCCACGGCATCCACAGCCCCGCATGCACACCTTACACCCCAGCCACGGCCCATGAGTGGCACGTACCCTTGTGAAGCCGGCAGCGATGAGGGACATCACAGACAAGTCTTCTCTGTCCGCCCTTCAAGAGAAAGCAGGGAGAGTTAGCCTTGCTTTCACCTCCACACGCTCACGACTCACTTGCTCACACACTTTTGGATGAAAATCAGATGTGTGAACTAGACACGTGGACCTATGCTGACCTCCTGTGTCAACAGGACGGCTAGGCGTAGGGCAGAACAGCACTGTAACTGGTTTTTTTGTTTTTTGTTTTGCCAGTCCTGGGGCTTGAACTCAGGGCCTGCGCACTGTTCCTGAGCTTCTTTTGCTCAAAGCTTTCTATCACTTGAGCCACAGCACCGCTTCTAGCTTTTTCTGTGTATGTGGTGCTGAGGAATGGAAGCCAGGGCTTCATGCATGCGAGGCGAGCGCTCCCCCACGGAGCCACCCTCCCAGCCCTGTGACTGCTCGAAGCCTGGGCTTGAGTGGCTGCGCTGCCTCAGTCCACCCGAGCACCAGACCGTGGCATGCAACACCAGCCGCAGCACAGCCGGCACAGCTCCTCAGAACGCTTTCTTCTGCCCAGCTGTTACCTTGCCCCAGGGAGGGGCGGCTCGGCACGCTGGCAGGCCTGTGCTGGACAGGGTCGCTCAGGGGTTCATTGGCCAACTTCAACTCTTCAGGACCAACCACCTGACACGGATGTGCCAAACTGAAACCCTCCACGCAGCCAGCTATGACAATAAAGTGCAACTAAAAACTAAATATGCACATTTAATCACAATCAAAAAAAAAAAAAAAAAGAACCTCGGGGAAGGGAGGGAGGGAGGGGATGGTAGGGGGAAAACAATGGAGGGGGTAACAATGTTCAAGAGGAAGTGTACTCATAACCTCACTCATGTAACTGTAACCCTCTGTATAGTAGCTTTACAATAAAAAAAAAAAAAAAAAAAACTAAATATGCAGGGCTGGGAAGGTGGCTCAGTGGTAGAGCGCTTGCCTTGCATGCATGAGGCCCTGGGTTCACTTCCTCAGCACCACGTAAGCAAAAAGAAAAAAGCCGGAAGTGGCGCTGTGGCTCAAGTGGTAGAGCACTGGCCTTGAGCTGAAGAGCTGAGGGACAGCACCCAGGCCCAGAGTTCAGGCCCCACAACCGGACCCAAAACACACACAGACACACACACACACACACACACAGACACACACACACATACACACAGACACACACACACACACAGACACACACACACACACCAACCACATAACATCTATATAAATTCTTCCTTGGAGTCTCCCATCTTCTAGTTCATGGATTAAAAGCCCATTTATGTGTAATTCTAATCCTCAGACATTGGAGTTAGACATCAAGGCAGACACCAGGGGGCCCTGGGGCCTGGTGTGGAAGCATGATCTCCCTGCAGCGAACTGGAGAACAGAAAGAACACTAGAGAAGCTGGGCTGTTTTGTTTTGTATTTGTCTTGTTGGTTGTGGGCCTTGAACTCTGGGCCTGAGCTTTTCAGATCAAAGCTAGTGCTCTACCCCTTGAGCCACAGCACCACTTCTGGCTTTTTCTGTGTATGTGGTACTGAGGAATGGAACCCCAGGCCTCATTCATGCTAGGCAAGCACTCGACCACTGAGCCACCTTCTCAGCCCAGAGAAGCTGGACTTTTATAAAGTCCATTCCAGGGGCTTCTCCTTCAAAGGGGCCTGGCCCTCAATCAGCCATCTGTCTAACAGAGCACACACAACACTGAGGCCTTTCCAACAGAAAAACAGTTTACCTGCGAACTACACCAACAATGACTGTATTTTCTGAGAATTTTGATGACTTGATAGACCTAAAAAAAGCAAACAAGTTTTTAAGCATATGTATATACACACATATATACACATATATACATATACACATATGTATACATATACACATATACATATATAAATATCCCCTCTGGTCCTGAGGCTTGAACTCTAAGCCTGGGTGCTGTCCCTGAGCTGCTTTGTGCTCAAGGCTAGCACTCTACCACTTGGGCCACACTGATACTTCCAGCTTTTTCTTTTTTTCTTTTTTTTACTGTCAGTCGTGGGGCTTGAGCTCTGGGCAATGGCCCTCAGCTCTTCAGCTCAAGGCAAGTGCTCTACCACTTGAGCCACAGCACCACTTCTGGTTTTCTAGTGGCTTATTGGAGATAAGAGTCTCACAGGCTTTCCTGCCCTGGCTGGCTTTGAACCATGATCCTCAGATCTCAGCCTCTTGAGTAGCTGGGATGACAGATGTGAGCTACTGGTCCCCGGCCAGAAATTAACATTTTCTTACTACCATTTTGTTTCTTCTAGTTCTGGGGATCAGACCCAGGGCCTTCATCACAAAAGCGATAAGGATTCCTCCCAGAAAGAATAGTTTTGCCATTTTGCTCTTCAGCACGTAGGGAAGCTCACTTGCACAGGGTCTCTGCATCTATGTGCCGGGGGTTTCTGTGGTCAATGACAACGATGTCGTGCAGCTTGTCCAGGAAGCAGTCGAGGGCATCCCGCGGCTCCCTGGCCACTGTACACTTGAACCCTGCCTTCTCGCAGGCCTTCCGGAACCCGTTACACTGGCTGTCTTCTTTGGTAAACACTAAAAGTACCTAGATCCAAGAGTGGAAACAGTTTTTAAATGAGATGTTGTCAGACTGTAATGTCTTAATAAGCCACAGAAAATAGCCAGGTGTTTTTAAGATGGGACACAGGTGTCACATGACATCTGCTCTCCTGCCTGAGCTGTGGATCCCACCACTGAGCCAATCAGCAGCCTTCTCCATCTGCTGACTGTGCCAACCCACATCTCTCTCTCTCCCCTCTCTCTCTCTCTCTCTCTCTTACACACACACACATATGCGCACACGCGTGAGCTTTTGTCTTTATCACATCACAACCAACTTACTGTAGGTTGCAGACAGTCTTCATTCACCTGAGAGAAGGCCATTCTGTACAGCTCTTTACTAAACCCTACAGAAGAGAACTGACAGGCAGTAACCCCAGGATGGCCCCTTAGTACCTGAAGCTGATCTTGATGAATCCTCATGGGGCCAAATTGCACATCGGCTACTGTTCCCTGTAAGAAAGAGATCTGCTTAAAAGCAAAAGGAAATGGTGTGATTTTTGCTTATATGTTTCTCTACTTAGCAACACAGATGAAAGGAAAGTATCTACTCTACAAAAAAACTACAAAAACAGGATAAACTTTTTATTTTTGCCAGTCCTGGGCCTTGAACACTGTCCCTAAGCTCCTTTTTGACCAAGGGTAGCATTCTACCATTTGAGCCACAGTACCATTTTGGCTTTTACTATGATTAATTGGAGATAAGAGTCTTCCGGGCTTTCCTGCCCAGGTTGGCTCTAAACTGAGATCCTCAGATCTCAGCCTCCTGAATAGCTGGGATTATAGGCGGGAGCCACTGGCACCCAGCAGGATAAACATTTTTTTTTTTTTTTTTTGGCTGTGGGGCCTGAACTCTGGGCCTGGGCGCTGTCCCTCAGCTCTTCAGCTCAAGGCTAGCGCTCTACCACTTGAGCTACAGCTCCACTTCCGGCTTTTGTTTTCTGCTTATGTGGTGCTGAGGAATCGAACCCAGGGCCTCAGGCATGCAGGGCAATCGCTCCACCACTGAGCCGCCTTCCCAGCCCATGATAAACATTTCTATCTCAGCGGTCTACTAGCTGAGTGAACTTAAGAGAATCACTTCCGCCTTCTCAGCCCAGTTCCTCCTTTGTTACAAAAATCAAATTAAATTACACTATGAAGAGCCTCCAAATAATAGACACCAAACACTGGTTCCTGTGTGCCTATTTCCATCTTCTCCTGATGGCCCCCAAACTCCTTCATTTAGATGGCACTGAGCAATGCAGTCCAACAGAGGACTGAACATGTCAAACAAAGAAACCTCACTGACAATGTTAATTAATGTTAATATTAATATTAACTGCTGGATGGAAGAAGGAAGTATTGCTATGGGCGATTACTTGAAAAATAGTAAAATATTACATAATAAAGACAGCTTTTGCTAAATGTCAGGGAAAACTCATAGTCTAAAATCTCAATCAAGTTGGATATGGCGGCGCACACCTATAATTCCAGCACTTGGAAGGCTGAGGTAGGAGACCTTGGATGGGAGGCCAGCCTGGGCTACACAGCAAGACCCTATCTCAAGAAAAAAATCTATTTTTTTTTATCATGAAACAAGAAATATTCTAAGCTGTAACTTCATTTAAGTTTGTGAAAACTAAAGTAAAAAGAAAACAAGTTTGCATACAGAAGGCTCTAAGTTCAATATTTACATCCCAATCCCTCCACAAAGCTAAGGAAACCACTTGTAGAAACCAAATTAAAGGCAATAATTAACATGTTAATTACATGCTGATAATGTACATAAATAAAGTGGACTGTGTTGGCCGCAGCTAGGGACAGATCAAGTGTGCGCAGCTCAGGGCACTTAGGATGCAGTCCTTACACAGGTGTGAGCAACTTCACGACAGACCGTGTAACTTTATGACCTCTACTTAGGAGAAATTCCAACACCAAATTCATTTTGAGAAATAAAAGACACTGTCGATTCACTTTGTTATGATTTGAGTTCTGTACACTGTGTAATTTTAGCATTTTTAGGCATTCATGCTTCTTCAGTGTGTCCATTTCACCACTGAACACAACTTAGATCACATTCACCATCAGCCAGGAATGCCTAGTCCTTGGGACCTGTCAGCACAGGGTGTCAGCACCACCAGTCAACTACGAACGAACCACTGCCCCTCCAAAACAGCCACCTCCAGGAAACCTGATGACTGTACTAGTGGGCAGACCTCAGCCTCCTCCACAGATGGACATCAGAGCCACTCGAGTCTCTGTGTCCATCCATCCTCTCTATGCCTGAAAATCAGAATCAAATCAGCCTAACACTTCAAGCTAGTAGTAGTAGAGCTTGAACTCGGCTAAGGGTGTTGTCCCTTATTTTTTTCCCCCAAGGCTGGTGTTCTATCACTTGAGCTACAGCTCCACTTCCAGCTGAAGTTAAGAGTCTCGATGACTTCCGTGCCTGGGCCGGCTTTGAACCAAGATCCTCAGACCTCATCCCCCTGAGTAGTTAGGATTACAGGCGTGAGGCACCAGTGGGCCAATCTGGGAGTGTTTCTTTGTTACTGTGTAGATATATTTTAGACATCAACACCTTATCTAATGTGTGATTTCCTAATATTTTCTCCTAGTCTTCAAGGTGTCTTCAACTGTTGTTTCTTTGTTAATGTGATGCAACGCTATTTATTTTTACTTTCACTGCATTAGACATTTCCTAACCTCATACAAAAAAAAAAAAGGGGGGCTGGGAAGGTGGCTTAGGGGTAGAGTGCTTGCCTAGCATGCATGAAGCCTCTGGTTTGATTCCTCAGTACCACATACACAGAAAAAGCAGAAATGGTGCTGTAGCTCAAGTGGTAGAGTGCTAGCCTTGAGCAAAAGAACCTCAGAGTCAGTGCCCAGGCCCTGAGTTCACCCCTAGGAGTGTCCAGAAAAAAAAAAAAGCAAAAGGCTGATAAGTTAAAACTTAAAATTAGGAATTTTTACTCATAGAGAAGGAAATGAAAATGTAGGCCCCAAATGTTGGAGATGCTATCTACAAATTATCATCAAAGAACTCATACCCACAATATATAAAGAATGTCTCATGATTAATAAGAAAATAATCAACAACCCCACTGGAGAGACCCTTGCACAGTCAGGAGATGCTAAGATACTAAGAACTGAGAAAAATAATTCAATTTTTATCAAAATTCTGCTAGGAAAGTGAGCTCATTGATAATTTTTAAGTTTACCAATTTTATAAGAATTGGTATAAATGGGAAATATTAATGGATGTCTTCATTTTATAAAAACAACTTATCACTGGATAAAATCTCTCCTATTTTAAGAGCACTCAAAGAGAAAAATGAAAAAAAAAAATGTGTCTACAATCTGTGTGCCCACTACGGGGAAATGAGTTACACTTACGCAATTAAGACACAGTGGAGAGCTTTGTTTCCATAGATTATGACACAACTGATATAAGCCTTAAATGAGAATATTGAGATTTGAATTGAGAAATGATCTTTTGTCTAAATGAATAGTGTATTCAGTGTGAATAACAGCGCTGCACAGCTCTGATATCATTTCCTCTTCAGTAATGACTAATAGTGAGAATACATCCATGCAGTCATAGAGAGGAATTCATGCTCCCCAAATTTCCCAAGTACCTGTCATCTAGGGAATGGGTATTTCTACAGGCTGTTCAAAAACACTGACCACAAACAGCCAACACAAGTCAGCAAAATCTCTCTGCTTGTTTTGCCCACTTCCTCTTGAGCTTTCTTCCAGTCTGAAGAGCAAGACAAGTGGATTGTCTTCCTTTGTTACCATCTCCTGATCTCCCAGACACGCTGTGTGGTGGACAAGGGAAACACTCCCAAGCACAAAGCACCAGGGAGGCATGCTTCAATGGTGCCCGTCCCTTGGTGCTCTGGCTAAAGCCTGGGCGGTCTGATCAGGTGTCCTGCAAGCATGAGGCTGAAGGCCTGCGACTTACCACAGAAGCACAGTAGCTACGTGCTTCCTCCTCAACCTCTTACATGCCGCCAGTCTGACTGCTGTCTGGTGAGCGCTGCCCTGAACTGGTTGCTCTTCACAGAACTCTGACCACCTTTTCTCCACACTAAGCATCTATGTTCAATCCATTTCACAAAACAAGTGCTTACATGTGCAGAGCTCCTCATATCAACTCCAAATGATCAAAGCCTTGGTCAGACCTGAAACCTTGGAAGCTGCTACGGGAAGGAACAGGAGAAACATCAGAGCTTCCTGGCATAGACAGGAACTTCCTGAGTAAAGTTCTGGGGGTTTAGCAAATTAGAGATGGACTCACTAAAAACTAAAAACATTCTACACATGATTGCCTTACTCATGTAACTGTAACACCTCTGTACAGTATCTTTACAATAAAAATAAATTTTAAAAAAGTTCTGCACAACAGAGGACATAGTTACTAAGCTAAAAAGACAGCCCACAGATTGAAAGATCTTTACCAGCTATCCATCCACTAAGGGCCTAACATCCAGAAAACACAAGAAACAAAATCCCCCAAAAAGTCAGTAACTCAATTAATAAATGGGCAAAGGAGCTAAAAAAGAGCCTTCTCAGAAGAATGATGAATAAACACACTAGGATGTGCTCAACATCCCTGGCCAGAAAGGAAACACAAATCAAAACAGCACTGAGATCCTATCTTACCCCAGTACTGAATAGCATCAAGAATTCTAACAGAGCTGGGAGCTAGTGGCTCATACCTGTCATCCTAGCTACTCAGGAGGCTGAGATCTGAGGATCACAGATCAAAGCCAGCCCCAGCAGGAAAGTCTGTGAGACTCATCTCCAATTAACCACCAGAAAACTGGAAGTGGTGCAGTGGCTCAAAGTGGTAGAGCGCTAGCCTTGAGCTGAAGAGCTGAGGGACAGCGCCCAGGCCCAGAGTTCAGGTCCCACGACCGGACCCAAAAGAAGAAAGAAAAAAGAAAAAGAAACTAAACAGAGAACTTCCCAGTGATACGCTGCTGGGCGCCCATCCAGAGCACCCAGGTCAGGGTGCTGTGAAGACTGCACAGCCAAGGTCATGCCAGGCCACACACCTTAGCCAACTTACGGAAACAGCCCAGATGCCCTACGCAAGATGAATGGGTCAGGAAAATGGGGTCATGTTGGAGTCACGGAGCAATGTTGCTCCTCATCCATTAGAAAGAGAATGTCATTGCAGGGAAACGGACGGGCCTAGAACAAACCATGTGAAGTCAGGCACGCGTTCTCTCTGAGGAAGCTGCATCTACAAGCACACATGATAACAGACTCCAGGATGATCTGCTCAGGTGCCTGTGTCTCCTCTGAAAGAGCCGACGTGCTTTTACCAAAATGGATACCAGGAAGAGGACACGTGTTTTGACAGGGGGCAAAGAGTGGGGGCACAGAAATGGAGGGAGGAAGAGTAAGCAGTCATTCAATTCACATCGTTTTAAAAATGAAAGCTGTAACTTGAGGGCAGG